GTTCCCACTGAGCTAATAAGACCTTTTTGTGTTGTTACAATACACACATACTGCATATATTCTATTGTGTTACTTTAAAATTTATGTATGTATTTATATTTTGTATTCTTTTGTTAATATTGTAATTGTGTTTTGCAAATAAACCAATGGTTATATATCTAGCTATCATTCTAAATTCAATTAATATTGTTATATACTGTGTTACCATAGCTGACAGGTCGCCATATGGTCCCGTCATAGAATAGACCACCCCTTTATTTCCCGTGGGTGTAGTAAGAGGCGACTAAGGGAATTTAATCTAACTGCGATTGCTAACCCACGTGCGTGATAACTACTGGAAAAACAACCCTTATGGGGAAGGCTTTTATTCAGCTGTGGACAGTTAACGACCGATATGATTGTGTCACAATTCCTATCATCCCCAGTATAAAAAACACAAAAAAAAATCAAGCTGTCTGGATGATGATAGTGGACACAAAATTATTCAAAACACAAAGTTATTAAGACATCTGCTTATGGGGATACCATAACGGTACTACCGTTGCCCATTAAGTACTGTGGTAATAAGTGTAATTGTTTTTATTAATTTTATATTTAAAATAGTCAAGTATAAGTATGTGTCGGACTATTTATTTGACTATGGTTATTTAACCGTTTTGTTTCTCGACTGTCACGTGTTGTTTTTCACGAATGTTACTTTCAAACGTGACATTACAGATAAACCTTATTTAGAACTGGTGTACGTCGATTTACAACTGATCTGTTCGCCTTTACTATATTTTAAGTATGCGAAATATTCGCGGGAATGTTGATTTATCATCGACATCGAAATTACTAGAGAACCATGACCTCTACATTGTACGAGGCGTAAGGCGCCACCAAGTCTAACTACACTGGTTCCGTAAATCGAGCAAACGTTTGTAAACATAGGGCCGGCAGCTGACAATTAGCGGCGTGGGATTCGTTTACGGCTCTGATGTTTATAGTGCCCTCCCACCGCCCGCTCGACCCCTACACCGCCATCATGCTTCAAGTCACGTACGCAAAACGTAGTCGCGCATGCGCGGCCTCCTGCTGTGGTATTTTGGATCGTATCACACATGTTACTAGCGATTTTCATTCACGGGCAAGATATAACGATTATCGGTGTTATTAACCTAGGCACAACACTAAGGCGTTGTTTTAATGCGTCATAATTTATTGATTTCTGATTTTTACGTATAATTAGGTCTGGCCTAAGCTTTATATCAATTATTTTTAATTTTGTGAGTTCATAGGTAATTGGGATTCGGAGAATATGTTTAGGTACTGGTCGCAATTGTCATTGCATCTCTTAGTGGACCCTAGACTAGTAGATCCCATTAAAAAATTATCAAAATAGGTAAATGAGTTTAGTTTTTAGATCAAATAATAACAGGTTTTGACACATTTGAAGTCGGTTTTTTTGTGGGACACAATGTTTATTAATTCAAAGTTACAACGGCGGTCACTTTATGTAAAATACCTATCTATTGCCGATTCAGGTTAGAGTTAGAGAGCATTGGCCTAACATTTTTTCTAAGGAAAAAAGTATTGATAGAACAAATTATTTACTGCTTATTATAAAGTCGCGCCTTTTTCCTGGTGACTGAAAAAAGAAGGGCAATGTTTTGGGGTTGTACGTAAGTATATAGATATATAAGCAAGTATCGCTTCATCCATCGATAGTCGTGGGCTTAATTTTCGGGATAAGGATTGTTAGTAACGGGGACTACTAAGTCGCATTGCTAGCAATAAATCCAGCCTTCACCTGGTCCTCCTGGAAACCATCGTGTTGAATTCCACGTGTATTCATCACCATGGGGTAACTAACCTGCCCTTTCATTCTCGCCTATCATCCCTCACTGGTGTCCTGCCAGCGTATACCGTTTGCGCAGACGGAGTTACAATTCCATTATTTAAAAAACTCCCGGATATAAATGGAGCTTGTCTGAGACTACATAAATGTATGTTTTTTAAAGGGCCAGACCCTTAGGGAAAATAATTACAATGAAAATAAAAATAATGAAAATACGCCAATAATGGAGTCCGCACACAGATTCGTGAGCATTTTAATGTAATTCTGTGTTCTATTCCATTTAACGGAGTGTAAACTATGCCAAGGATTGTCACTAGTCTTCGGAGTCCCTTAGAATAGAACAAGACCATCACGTGACTAGTCGACAGACATAGCACATACATTTAATCACGTTCTTAATATCATGTATGTAATATATCTAGTCGATAAAGAAATAAAGTGTCATTGTGATAGATAATTAAATATCTAGAGTTAATAATAATATTTAAGTAATAATACTTAAAATATTAGTTGATAACAAGTAACTACGACTACTTCTATTGTATTGTCTTTGTGTGTACGTGCGTGCGTGTATGCGCGTGCGCGCACGCGCGTGTACGAGTGTGTGTAATTGTGGATGTATTTGTGTGAGTGTAGGTGTGTATGTTAAGAAATTTCAAAACTTCTATGTGGCATTGATTATAATTTTATCATGATTGGCATGATAAATGGTAAATTAATATAATGATAAATGTTTAACTGTCCTTCCATATTAGGGTAACCAATTTGTGGGAGACATGCACTTTCTAATAAGGGGAGTATAATTAAAAAAAGAAATATATATAAATAGAAGAAAAGTAGTTGAGGGTAAAAGAACTAATTGTAAATATGGGTTAAGTGAGACTTTATGATATAGTGTGAGGTTGTATGAAGACGTATGATAGTGTGTGTGTATGTGTGCGTTGATAATTAAATATTATATTCACTGAATTTTATTCAAAATTATTACATTTTATTATTTTATATATATATATATATATATATATATATATATATATATATATATATATATATATATATATATATATATATAAATCTGAAAATTGAAGGAATAATTCAATATTAATATTAATTTAAATGCACAGACTATTTATTAGCTTATCTTATATATAAATACAAACATTATAATCTTTACTTCAATAAACTTGTTTACAAACATGTTTTTGTCAATTTTTATGATTTTATCTATTGATTTTATCTCTCGAGAAGCAACCGCAAGAAACTTGGCAGTCTCTACAAATAATTTTGCAATATAAATACCAACTATATTAAATGATGTAAATACATTCGCATGAACCAAATGGTTCAGTAACTATAAAGAGAATATAATTATAGTGCTTGTTCAGATATGTAATTCAAACATTTTCAATGTAGACCTAAGAAACATTTTATCAGCAAGGAAAACTTTTTATAAACAGAACATTTTGGTTTCTTTTTTTTATACAACTTAGAATGCCAAACAAGCTGAGGGCCCACCTGATGGAAAGTGGTAACTGTCGCATATAGACATGAGCAGTACCATGGACATAACAGAGTATACTGTTTCGTCCATGATACCCCCTATACGTTGCCATTCCTGAGGACTCAGGTGTTATTCCTCCGTACCCAGTAAATTCACGCCATATGCCACTCTTCAAACCGAAACACAGCCATGCAAACACAACTGCTTCATAGTAGAAACACGAATGGGACAGAGGTACCCAAGCAATCGACTTTTGTACAAAGTCTCCCCTCTGGTAATGTGAATGCTTTTGTCAATTTTTAAACGCTAATTCGATTGTAATACAGAAAAGTCGGTCTTTTATAATGTGTAACTTACTTGCTATCCATATATGCAGTTCTTTTTTTAAATTCATTACTAATTACATAATTTCACTAGGATATCTTTGTTGTTGGTAATACTAATTTCTTACAATGTCTTTTAGTGTATTTAATAGGAAATCGAAATGGTACCTTACAAACTGACATATTTCGTAAATGTACATACAATGTAATGTCAGTAAGTTATATTCTTTGAACAATGGTTTACAACTTGTTCAAAGTATTAAATATATATAACACAATGAATATGGGTGAAATATCGAAAATAACTAGTATAAATTTTTTGTGAGATAAAAGCTTTGTTTACCTCTACCGAGTTTCCCCACAGTATCAGACCATATCTTATTCTGGAATTTTGTAATGATGTTTGTTACTCTTTCACTCAACAAAAAATACTACTAAACGGATTTGAAAGAAATTTGGTACAAGGGAATCTGACTTAGAACAAAGAATACTTTATATCCTGATTCACGTGGGCGGAATCGTACATTTCGACTAGTAATATTTTAACATCGAAATCACAGTCAATAGCAGTGACACGTAAAAATAATACAATGGTAATAGTAACTACAAATTTCAAATATTTTTTTTATAATCTATAAGACCTAGGAATAAGATGACATAAAAACTAAAATGTACTGCAAAACTATTTTAACTATTAGAGTAATTTGTCACTAATTAATTTTAAACTTTCACGTGGTTTACGCATATTTTAAATACACAATCGGGATTTAACGCGATGTAAATGCCTTTACAGGTAAATAATACTTACATACCTGCTTCTTTATTGCCGACGTTTCGACGTGGATTGCTATTTAACTGTAAAGGCTTTACCATCCCCTTAAGTCCCGATTGTGTATTTAAAATATGTTTTGTTACTTTTTTTTATACAACTTAGAATGGCAAACATACTGACGGCCCACCTGATGGAAAGTGGTAACCGTCGCCTATAGACATAAGCAGTACCATGGACATAACAGAGTATACTGTTTCGCCCATGATACCCCACATGCGTTGCAATTCTTGTGGACTCAGGTGTTATTCCTCTGTACCCTGTAAATTCACTGTCTTATCCCACCCTTCAAACCGAAACACAGCCATGCAAACACAGCTGCTTTACAGTTGAAACACGAATGGTCACTGTCTGTCAAATCAAAACACTTCAAGAGCTGAAACAGTTTGTTGTTTTTATAAACAAGTGGGAAGTTTTTAAGAGTTGTATTTATATTGTTAGATATAGCTTTGTTATCACTTGCTGTAAACAAATTTATCAATTATGTTATAGAGAAAAAAAAAATATTACCTTTGTTCTGCCGTTGATCGTGAAGTCGCCCATTTTTCCATTTCCTGGCATCTTGTTGGCCCTCAGTACGATATTATCCACCTGGAATATTTTAATTGCATTTTAATAGTGCACCGCCTAATTTAATAGTTACAGTCATTAGGTTCGTGGAAAAGGCCGATTTATAATAAAATTTAAGTATTTTAATGCACAATTCAATCGAGCCGGTCCGCCTGAACAGCATAGCAGAAGTCATTTAATTAATAAATCGTCATAAAATACTTATATGTATATCAGCCTTTAATCGTCCACTGGTGAACATAGGCCTCCCTCTATTAGGTGAGTTTGCCAGTGGTTTTTTTTTACAACACAGGGGGCAAACGAGCATCCGGCTCACCTGATGGTAAGTGACTACCGCCGCCCATGATCACCCACACCAGCGGCATTGCAGGTGTGCTGCCGGCCTTTTAAAAAGGAATATACTCTTTTCTTGAAGGTTATGTTGTCGTATTGTTTGCATGCTTAGCAGGTGGATTGGCAACCGTAGTTAAGCTTTGGTTTGTTTTAAGAGGGACACTGCTGCCCATCCCTTGACAATTACGTTCCTTTAGTCACTTTTTACGACACCCATGGGATAGGAAGTGGCATATTCTGAGGAGGCAATATATCGTGAGCAGGTAATAAAAGTGCAACCCAATTCATTACCTGGGAGATTATTTAGGGTCTAATCACGGCTGTAGAACAAACGTATTTTAAATATCTAAAATGTACTCTTTTTAAATCATAATTGCCACAAAAAAAACCGACTTCAATTATGGCAAAACCAGGCATTATAGTTTAGAAACACAACCGAATTGGGAATCTCCTTCTTATTGAATTTTATATATATAGTTATTTATTTAAAAAATTCTAATAACTATATTATTTTTATACTCAAAAATTTTCCTATGGCCGGTTTTAATACTACAAGTAAATCAATGGTTTACTTGTAGCGCCAGTAAAATATTGGACATTAGCAGAAAATCTTTATGATCGGGTCCATTACTTGTTTGTTTACATTATATAACAAACTTTAAATACAGTACTATTGTAGTAGAAACTGTAAAAATGTCACATGTCAACTGCACCATGCTACAATAGGTATAAGCCACCGTAACTTCGTAGTTCGCGCTACGTGACTACTGTCAGTAACAGCCCTATGACGGTTGGCTTAGTTTTGTGAACACTCATTTCATCGCCCTTATGTAGGTCGAGGTTTGCTTTTCAACATTGCTTACAAATTAAAAAGGCAATTGTAATCGCTCATTTTATGACACAATGCATTATGTAATTATGTTCATTCAATGAATTGTCTAAATTAATAAAACTCATTAGTTTTCAAAATTTAGATAACGTTTTCTAGAAACTGCGTCTATCAGCACAAAGATTAGAGAGAAATTAATGCTTCTAAAATCTAGATTCAATTTAGACAATGCGTTGTCAGTCAGTCAACTTCTAATATATAAAATTCTCGTGTCGCGGTGTTTGTTACCAAACTCCTCCGAAACGGCTTTACCGATTTTTATGAAATTTTGTACGCATATCGAGTAGATCTGAGAATCGGCCAACATCTATTTTTCATACCCCTCAATGATAAGGGTGACCCTCCTCAATTTTTTTTTTATTTTTTTGACAAATTTTTCCATTTTTATTTTATTATGATTTAGCATTGAAAAATACATACAAATTCAAATTTTCACGCTTTTACGATCAACTCCCGTTTTTTAATCGCGATTTTTATATGCCGCAATAGGGTTGCGAGATGACAATCGAATATAATAATTGTAGTACGATAAATTTTCATGTATAGTTCTAGAAATAATGTATATGGTAAAACAACGTTTGCCGAGTCAGCTAGTTTTACAATAAAAAGTATAGTTACTTGTACGTTTTTTTCAAGTTCAAATATCTATACATATTGTAAATTAGAAATAAGTAGAAAGTACACCTGATGGAAAATATAAATCATCGCCTCAAACTACGAACAACATTGATGATTTCATAGTATACTTCGCTGGATTGTCATTTTTGAAAAGTAACGTAATGTCTTAGGAATGTAAGTTTTATATGTACTTAAGTATATAACTAAGTTTTGTAAGTTAATTAGCTAATCGATTGAATAATGACAAGTTATTTAGAGTGCTAACATTTAAAAATTTATTGAAATTAATCAATGTAAAATATATCCGCGAGTAAAATATGAGTGTTACGGCGATCTTATGTCAGTTATATATTGGATAACTTAATTCACACAGCACGAGAGAGGAAGGGATTGTTGGTATTGCGAACTACCAGTCCCATTGCTAGCTTATCAAGTCGAATTCCACGTGGGAGGACCACCTGGAAACAATAATGCTAATCACTAGTGTATTCATTACGATGAGCTAACTGCCCTGTCTTTTCATTCTCATCTATAATACCTCACTGGTGTTCCGTTAGCGTATACCATTAGCTCAGGCGGGGTTACCATTCCATTATCATCCATAAAAAAAAAAACTACACAGCACGTATGGTTGCAAAAATAATTCGTACTGTACTACCAATCCAGGCGAGTCATACAAAATTATAAAATATCATGTAAAGTCATTCATATTATAAAATATATTTTTTAAACTACGTTGAATATTTTTAGAATTTTCCGACAGTACAATTTAATGAAATTCGAACCCGCGTCACTATCTGGGCCGAGTGCGTTTTTGTAACATAGTATTTATTTTTCAAATGGAGGATAAGTATTTAAAAATAATTTAAAATTTATATTTAGTAAGCAATAATAAAATCTTTTAAGTGATTGCATAATCACATACTGATGAGTTAGTTATATATATATGGAATTTGTGTCTACTTTAATTTGTTAATATATCAACTTTATTATACTAACTCATATATATATATATATATATATATATATATATATATATATATATATATATATATGTAAATGGATCAATATTTTAGAAATACTGTGTTATTTATTTGTTGTATGTCATATAAGTCGATATATAACCTAAACTAAGTATGGGTGTTTATTTGAAGATTAATGTCATGAACACTACCAATACCAGACACATATCACTCGCGCGTTATTGACCTTTGCTTTGACGAGGTACTTAAATCAGAGGGTCTAGTAATTTCGCTGCCCTTTAAACCGGAACACATCAGGCAAGCAAACGCGGCCTCATTGCTGACAATATTAAGGGTCCGTCTATTTATTTTTACGCAAAACCCTTGCGGGGTAAAAAGAGAGAACATAGTGAAAGAAATTTTTGTATCCCGGGGCGAAAGGAATTGGTCGTAATGGGGATATAACAACCCCATTGCTAGCAATATACTCTATCAGGGCTATCTTCACGTGGTTTCCCGTGGAAACCATTGATTAATTCTTTATGAATTCGTTACTATGGACCAACTGACCTGCTTTCATCCTCATCTATCATATCTCACTGGTGCCCGCTAGTGTATATCGATAGCACAGACGGGGTTACCATTTCATTATAACCCATAAAAATGGGGGGGAAAGGGATTGTTAGTAATGGAGACTGAGAATCCTATTGCTAGCAATATACCCAACCAGGTCGACCTCCTCGCGGTTCCCCCTGGAAAGTATCATGATTAATTCCAGATGAATGCATCATGATGGGCTAACTGGCCTGCTTTCATCTTCATCGATCATCCTTCACTGGTGCCCCGCCAACGTATCCCATTAGCGCAGGCGGGGTTGCCACTTCATTATCACCCATTAAAAAAAACCCATAAAAATGCCTGTATCTTTACACACGTTTCTTGCTTCCTCATTTTCATAACTCATCAAATGCATACACGCTGCTTCTGGAGACTCTTGACTACTCTACCAAAATAATGAAGATACATTTTTTGTGATTAATTCCTGGACTTTATTCACAATTTGTTACGATGGGCCAACTGCACAGACTTTACCTTCCTCTCACTGGTACCTCGCCAGCGTAAACCGATAGTACCGGCGAGGTTATCATGCCGTCATTCATAAAAATAAACTAGAAATAGGTGTTACATAGGTCTTGTGTAGAAAGTGCACTCCGATGTACTTCATTGTAAATATTTAACTTGATTAGTGGACTTATGATAGTGAAGTGAACCCATAAAAGTGTTCATTGCAAATATGATTATGTTGGATTTAGAAATTATTATTATTTACAAAATAAGAGGGTCAAGACAAAGTTAATTACGCTGCATTAGTGTAAAATGATATATGTACTTATATGTATTAAGTATATCTGATAAGGGAAAACAATTGGTGTAGCCATAATGCCAGAGAATAGTTAGGTATCGCGATTATCAATAATAAATGCCGTTAAGATAAGTATATCGAAAAAATGTTAGATATCCAAACTGTTTGGTTGGAATGGGTTGGGTGACGTTTGGTTTTCGCAGTTCGATAGCGATACGATATCGTACCGTTCTATCGATACGTCACGATATGAGAAAATTATTGTAGTACTCACTCACTGGTTACGCACGTTGGTAGTTACACTAAACAAAACAGTAAACAAGTAGCTATTGATAGCGTCTACACTTTATGGCTCGTGAAGAGGAGGAACATTTACGTTTGTATGGGTTTTTAATTTTTTTTTTCTTTATGTCAAAGGGCGACAAACAAGCATGCGGTTAGCCTGATAGTAAAATTACCACAGCCCATGGACATTAACAACATCAGGGAAGCCACCAATGTGTTGCCGATCATTTGAAAAGATATAAATTCTCATCTTGAAGGTTCCCATGTTGTATTTATTGGGAAATGCCGCTGTTAGTGGTTTGTTCCACATTTTTGCAGTACGCGAAGTCAGTCAGGACACGTGAAACGTACAATAGTGGGTCGCCATTTATCTAGGCGATATTAATGGAAATTTAAGTCTAATTAACGTATAATAATGGGAATTAAATCTAAATAAAAGTACACAGTTAATAGCTTTTTGTCTGCCTGAATAAAAAGTTTACAATGTGTATAGACCCTTAGCGTGATATTTCGTATTTCGGTTGTATTTTTTCTATGCGTATGTTACCGATACCGCCGCCAAGTAACGTATTTAAAACATCTGCAATCGATAAGGATTAGTCCACATTGGTACTATTCTCGTAAATATTTTACCCAATATTTTACTGTCCTAATTTTTGTTTTTGTGAGATATAATCCTAAATCATAAATTGTGACGAATTACCTGAGAAATTAAGTAATTGATGTAATAACAATGAGGCTCCTTTCCATCAATCCACGTGGTTTGATCGCTCCGGATGGTCTGTGCATCCGTTCCCGGATTGGACACTACCTGTCCCGCCTGTGAAAGAAAAACATTAATCAATTTATTTATTTTATTCAACGATAAAATGTGTTATTTTAAATCGATTTAAAAATAACACATGGAACCTTGATTAACTAGTTCGTTTATGAGTTTACATTCTTTATGTAACTAATGATTTATTTCGTGAAAAATGTGGCCTAAAGAGTAGGCTGTCTCAAAAGGTTACTCATAGATTAAAATTCAAGATTTTGATGACGATGATTATCATCATTATATCAGCCATTCATTGTTATAATATAATTTAAATGTAATAGTCATAAAATATTCAATCTGTTATTTATACTACTTATTATATTATTTATACTAGTGTAAATTGTGAAGTAACTTGAGATATGTTGACACCGATAAGGTAGCAAACAAGCACACAGATACTATAAATATATTTATGTCTGCAACACCAGACATTCTTTTAATGGGCGATAATGGAGTAGTAACCCTGCTTGCGCTTGCCCATGATACTCCCATGCGTTGCCATTCCTGAGGACTCGGGTGTTATTTATCTGTACCCTGTAAATTCACTGCTCTATCCCACTCTTCAAACCGAAACACAGCTATGAATCGTGTAACTGCTTCACAGTAGAAACGCAATTTATCTTTAGCTCTACAATTTTTACAATTGAACATTCTATATTTTTCTTTCAGCTTCTCAAACGTTGACTGTAAGAGATCCCTCTAAGGGATAAGCTAGCCATTGTATGTTACACCTTTTTTATGTGTTTAATGCATGCATGCAAGCACAACTGGTTCATGGTAGAAAAACGAATGGGGCAGAGGTGCCCAAAAGCAAACGACTTTTGTACAAAGTCTCCCTCTGGTAATATTTGACAACATACATAAGTATAAATAAGAAAAACAATGTAAATAGGTTTCTACAATTATAAAATTATATCTACCAATTGAATACGTTATGTTGTTATGATAGTTAATATAATTACCATCTGTAATTTTTTGCCTCTGTTGATAATCACTTAATTTTAATTACATAACTTTTTGGTAAACAAGACAGAATTGAATCAAAATCACGTAAAACTTACATAAAGAGAGAAATTAACATGATCGGTATCCTTCCAAGGAAGCATTTTGTCAGTATAACTGACATTTGGAACAATATGTTCCCAAAGAAAATTTGTGTTGAAATATTACAAAAAATGTCATAAACAATAATATAAATTTTACAAAATTGCTTAATGCTATATGACATTCTATCCGAAATAATGGGCAAAAGGTATGTAATGGGCATAAGGTGATGTTGAAAACTGATCCTATAAATATTAGTTCTGAAATGTGAGTACTGACCTATGCTAATTGAAAACATGAATGGATGAAGTTAATATGCATAATAACAAGAATAAGTTATTGAGTGCAAGACAGTATGTTTATATGTAGTTACAATCAGGTTGACCTTCATGCGGTTTCCCCTGGAAACCATTGTGACTAATTTATCCTTGAATTCATCACGATGGGCTAACTTACTTGATTTATTATCTTCACTAGTGCCCCGCCAGTGTATATCGTTAACGCAGGCTACCATTAAGGGGTTACCATACCATTATCATTCATTAAAAAAATTTACTTACATGACAAATCCATCCATACATAGAAAAGTGGAAATGTACCACCTTCATAATTCAATATGGCTATTTGTTTTATGGTGTATAAAAAAAAATTTCAGCCATTGCAATGATTAATTGTTAAATAAGTTTAAAATTAACTTATACTGACTACAATTGGATGTACTTTTTATTTCTAAATCTTTGTCAATTTTCTAGATACAATATCTTGAAATTGACTCATCATTAGTTTAGCATAGATAACATTGATATACAAACTTTTGTTGAAAAATACACAGGAATGAATCAATAAGACAATCAGAGATAACAGTATACAGTTTAAGTATCTATTATTGCTTCAATTTACTTATTATGAAGTAATTAAACCATACCTTTTCTCATGTAAATTAAAATAAATGTTTACCTAAATATTATTCAGGATATCTGAAGTAGTTCAGTTATTTAACCATGACTATTGGGGAGAGAAAGGAATGTTAGTAATTGGAGCTTAATAACCTCATTGTCAGCAATATACCCTATCAGGTTGACTTCCACCACACGGTTTTCCCTGCAAACCATTGTGATTGCTTTATTGTTGAATTTGTCACAATGGGGTAGCTGACCTGCTTCATCCTCGCCTATCATCTCTCACTGACGGTCTGCCAGCGTACACCATTAGCACAAGTGGGGTTACCATTCCATTATCATCCATTAAAAAAAACAAGACTTTGACATGAATTTTTAAAAAATTATACCAACTGATTTAGAATAATTTTCCAAATTGCATGACTGCAGTTGCTAATTCGCCCGCCAAATGTGGCAACTATTGTCAAACCCCTCCCCCCTCAAGGAGGAGGTTTATGTTCATCAGTAGAAAGTTATAGGCTGATCACCCTATTAGCTTTTATACCGGGACCACACAATGAAAGGCTGATATGATGATGAATTTATAAATAAATAAATCTTTCCTTTTTTGAGTTTGAAGTAAATGTTATCTATATTTACTAGGGAGATTATTATTGTAGCATTAATTACTGTAAATACTGTCAAAACTTAATTGCCAGCCTAGAATAAATATTTTAACAGTATTTACCACAAAAGGACTTAATTGTGTCAGACTATCACAATAAAACTCTGAAAAACTGAACTCCACTGAGAAAAGAAACAGCTATATACGTAATCTGAAAAAGAATCTAGCACAATCACATGACTCACTGATTAATTTAGAAGATGTACAGGCCTTGAGCAACAAACTGGAAGAAATAATATTAGAAAGTTTAAGATTTGATAAGAAAAGAAAAGCTGGCCAACATAAAATCCTAAGCAGTGAAACACTGAGTCTAATCTCTAGAAGAACTGAACTAGTGACTGAGAAGCACAAAACCAAAGAAACTAGAGAAAAAATAAAGAAGTTATTTAAGGAAACTAATAGAGCAATTAGGAAAGACCATGATAATTACTGAAGAGCAGTTATTGAAAGAAACATGACAAAGTTCCGAAGTTCAAAAAGAGCCTTCAAAGAACTTACAACACATAAAAAATGGATACAATCTCTAAATAATGGTAAAGGCGAAATCAGGGAAAGAGATGACATAGTCAGAAGTGCAACAGCATTCTACACCGACCTGTATAAAAAACCTTTAGAAAAAGAAACATATAAAGATGAAGACATTGTGTGTAAGGAAAGCAATTCAGAAGCAGCACCGAACCAGATTACAGAGTACGAGGTCATAAAACTTATTAAAAAATTAAAACCTGAAAAAAGCCCAGGTTCAGACAACATTACGAATGAAGCCATAAAAATCGGAGTGCCTATTTTAATCACATATATAGTGAAAATTTTTAACCTAGTTTTGGAGAAGCAAGTGGTACCAAAGCAATGGTGTGAATCTGACATTATACTGCTGTACAAGAAAGGCAACCCGCTTGATATTGGCAACTACAGACCTATCAGCTTACTATCCACAGTTTACAAACTCTTTTCATCCATTATTTTGAGCAGAATAGCAACAGAAATTGACAAATATCAACCAATAGAGCAGGCTGGATTCAGACCACATTACTCTACAATCGATCACATCCACACAATAGAACAGATAATAGAAAAGTACAAAGAATTTAATAAATCACTTTACATAGCATTTGTGGACTACTCCAAGGCCTTCGATAGCATTACACATTCATCCATATGGCATGCTTTGGCTGACAATAACATAAACAGCACCTACATAAATATTATAAAAAATATTTACTCTAATAGTATAAGCAGAGTCAAACTGGAGAGGCAGGGTGAAAAGTTCACAATTGGAAGAGGCGTAAGACAGGGAGATCCACTTTCTCCAAAACTTTTCATAGCAGTACTTAACAACATCTTTAAAAGTATCGATTGGAGCCATGAGTGTATATGGATACTGAACAAAAGACTAACACACTTATGTTTCGCAGATGATATAGTACTTTTTAGCGAATCGGTTAGCAACCTAGAAAAAATGCTACAAGAACTAGATTTGGAAAGTAAGAAAATTGGGCTAAATATGAATGCAACCAAAACAAAGATCATGACAAACCACAGCAAAAAAATTATCACAATAGAAGAGAACCCTATAGATTATGTGGATAGTTATGTGTACCTAGGTAAAATGGTCTCTTTCGAAACGAACAGTGGAGAAAATGAAGTTGATAGAAGAATAAACATAACATGGAAGAAATATTGGGCTCAAAAAGAAATCCTTAAAGGGAACTACAGTCTCAACTTAAAAAAGATAATTATGGATTCCTGCATCCTTCCAAGCCTAACATATGCATGCCAAACATGGACCTATACAGAAAAAATAAAGAACAAAATCCTATCATGTCAGCATGCGATGGAAAGAAGTATCTTAAAGTTAAGAAAAATACAGAAAATAAGAAACACTGATATTAGGAAGAAAACCAAAATAAAAGATGCTCTTCAGCATAGTATGAAACAGAAGTGGAGATGGGCAGGTCATATAGTGAGGTACAAAGATAAAAGGTGGACTCTCCAAACAACAAAATGGCGAGGTCCAGCAGGAAAAAGAAATGTTGGAAGACAAAGAAAGAGATGGGAAGATGACATAATAAAGATAGCAGGAAAGAACTGGACGGGTATTGCTATAGATAAGGAGAAGTGGAAAAAGATGGAGGAGGCTTTTACCCTTGGGGACCACGGAAGTGGATAAAAAAGCTATAATAATAATAATAATAATCAACCCGAAGTTTTGGGTACCTCTCAGCGGGAGGCCGTATGGAAAGAGAAGGAGTTGCACGGAAGGTTCTTCAAAGCCCTTCACGGGCCGTACGTAAACACGAAGACCTCCGTGCACTGGCTACAGTTCGGTGATCTCTTCGGAGAGACCGAGGGTTTTGTCTGTGCAATACAGGATCAGGTGGTTAAGACGAACAATTACCGAAAGCACATTCTGAAGGATGGCACTGAGGACATCTGTCGAGCATGTCGCCATCCCGGAGAGTCACTCAGACATGTGCTTTCGGGTTGTTCAGCTCTTGCCAACACTGAGTACTTGCACAGACACAACCAGGTAGCCAAAATACTCCATCAAGAGCTAGCTCTGAAGTACGGCCTCGCGAATGAGAGGTTGCCGTACTATAAGTATGAGCCCCAGCCGGTCTTCGAAAGCGACAGCGTAAGGCTCTACTGGGACCGATCCATCATCACGGACAGGACCGTTCTTGCGAACAAACCTGATATCGTGGTGATGGATCGGGCACTCTCGAGGGTGTTTTTGGTGGATGTCACCATACCGCATGACGAGAACCTCGTGAAAGCCGAAACCGAGAAGAAGAGAAAATATCTCGACCTGGCTCACAAGGTGACCGAAATGTGGGGGGTGACATCTACTGAAATCATCCCAATCGTTATGTCGGTGAACGGTCTTATCCCAACCAGTCTCGAACAACATCTCAGACGGTTGGGATTCAGAGGCGGTTCACTTCCGGGAAAGATGCAGAAAGCGGTGCTCTTAGATTCTGCCCGCATTGTACGCCGGTTTCTCTCCCTGGGGCCCTGAACCCCGGCCGACTGTGCTTCTGCCGGGGGTTAGTTGCCATCTCCTCTCCTTAAGAGGGGAGATGAGAATTTTAGTGAAATTTAAAAAATAATAATCACAATAAAAATTTGTGTAATAGTAATAATTACAATGATACTTCTCACATTTTACTATTTTTTTTTTTTGAGTTTGTAAATGTTTTTATAATCTTCTTCTTTGGTTTTAGTGCCCTGTCTTCTGCACAACATTACAATGCATAGAGTGTAAGAAAGTAAACAATAAAGAAACTTACTCTGAATATTCCTGATTGGTGCATCTTTATGACTTCATCTAACACGAACAAGCCCTTTTCTTTACCGAGGAAATTGTCCAAAACACACACACCATACTGTGTCATATCACTGATGAGTCTATGACAAACTGAAAACCGGTCATCACCAAGGTCCATGTCATAGCTGCTGGGCGTGTAGAAGAATGGAGCACCACTACCCTTCAGTGACGCCTCCTGGTAGACACTCATTTTTGCACCATCTTCTGTACTATATGAAGGTGATACAGGCATTATGTCGTCACCTCTATTCACTGTCCTCAATACATTTGATGAACTAGGTCCTGAGAAATCCAAAGTACTCAGCTGTTGATCGGACTCGCTCAATATTTCCTGCTCAGATGACCCCTCGTAAGTTATGGCCCTACCTTTGGACAAATCCTTAGCTACATACACTACACTAAAAATAACACTACTGTCTTCGTGTCCTGAGGGCTCGGATGCGCCACTTTCACTTTTAACGTTCTCAGTAGAAATTTGCGAACTATGTTTATCAACTGACGCTGTGTCACGCTCCTTACCCACTTCTTTCACGTTTTTTTTTTTAGATCTTTTGGAACGTCTAATTTCGTTTGCACTACTCCCTTTTGGAACTTCTTTTACTGAACTATCTTCTATAGTTTGGAAGGAGATTTCTACTCTATTTTTGACACTTTCTTCGTTTTTTATCGAATGTTCACCTGCTTTAACAATTTTTGATCCTTTTTTGGATTCCTCGAGCTTACATTCACTTTTGTGTCTTTTCCAGTCTTGCCGTTGGTGTTCTTTGTTACAATAGTAGACACTGAGACAACGAGTACATCTTTTACTGGTTTGCTGATTGCAAATGGCGCAACGTTGTGATTCTACGCGTTCTTGATTCATTATGAAAATAAATAATATTACCAAGGGCCGGCCTCGTACTTTTTTTTTTTTTTTTTAGTACGTTTGTTCCGTTTGGAACAGGCTAAGGTCGGAGACCATGCTGCCTAGTCTTCAAAAAGATAAATTGTCTGGAATAACCGGCCTCGTACTATTGTCAAGTGTCAAATGGAACAAGTAAAATGTCAGCGATATGACGGTTGTGTTGTGCGTTCCATTCCTCCGTTATCATTAATGTTTTTATGTTTAAAATTATAATATGACAATATCTGAAAAATAAAAAGTTTTAATTTTAAAATTAGCCTATTATTGTAACTTCATAATATTTATTCTAACCTCATAATATATTTTTATTACAAATATTTTATTAATGTTATAAATGATAATAGAGATTTTTTAATTAATAAAAAAGATTACTGAAAATGGAATGCACTCTGCATTTACGAAGACCCGCATTACTTGGAATAAAAAATTTTTGTATGAGTCTATGCAACCAATTAATTAAATTAATTTTAAAATATTAGAAAGACAGAAAAATAATGTACTTAGTGACATACATTGACATTATAGCAATTATTAGTAAAAATAAAATCTAGTCACTAAAAATGCTCTTACTTAGGATGTGTTGTGGGTCTTTACGGCTCACAGATGCTAATTTTCTGTAGGTACCTACATAAAGAATGCTTATAAAAGATTATGAATTAGCTAGATCTTTTATGAATATTGATATTTAGGACAAAGACATATTATAAATAGTTCTGCACATGAATTTATTTTATTGTTGATAATTTCAGGTGATTTTATTTATTTGTTTATTTATTCATTAGTACAAATATGTGTACATGGCGGACTTAATGCTACAAGCATTCTCTCCCAGTTAACCATAGGGAAGTGTCAGAATACTCGAATGCGGTACTACTAATTATTGATATACATACATACTAAAATTACATATATAAACGAATAAATATATATAAATAACAAATATACTTACACATATATGACATATACTATATTATACACGAAATTAAGAATAATATAAAGCACTTACTGCTCGGATAATGTAAAAAAGTGAGTGTGAACGTTTTTTTTTAAAGACGGTTTAGTCGGTAGTCTCTTAATGGCATCAGGAAGCGCGTTCCAGAGTCGTGAAGAATGTAGGAGAAAAGAATTTGAATCGAAACCAGTACGGTGAGAGGGGAAAGATAGTTGGAGAGTATTATTGGAACGAAGGTTGCATAGGTTTGTGTTATAGTTTCATCACTATAAATGTTATTGCCGAATTTTAAATATTTTTTTTTTATAATGGAATTAAAATAGGTCTTTTTTTTTAATGGATGATAATGGAATGAATCGTCACCTGTCGTCAACAGTTGAAGCTGAGGCATCCATAGCTGTTCCTTATAGTATTATTGGAGGCGGTAAGAGAAGCGGTGTACGTCTTTGTCTTACTCTCCGAGCTGACGGGGCATATTAACGCTATCGTATAATATTGCGGCAATCAGTCAGCGGTCAAACAGTTGCTGGTCAACATCCAGGATTAAGAGGGCGAGGTAGCAGAGCGTAGTTGCGATCTACGGACCTCTGGGTTCCGGATGTACTCGACGGTGCGGACTTCGACGGAAGCGGTGTACGTCCTTGTCTTACTCTCCGAGCTGACGGGGCATATTAACGCTATCGTATAATATTGCGGCAATCAGTCAGCGGTCAAACAGTCAGAGGGCCCTGAACATCTATATCTTTTCGTTAAAACATAGGTAAGGTGTTTTTTTTTTTTATGAAATAGAGAATGGTAATTCTAGATCTACTTGTGCTATCGGCATTAGTACAGTCAATGAAGGTTCTCACTTCCGATTTCGTTGAATCTCCATCGATTTTCATGAAAATTGGTGAGTAGATGGTAGGTACCTTAAGAAACAAAAGTGACATAGTGCCAACTTGCGCTTTTGTCCTGGGGGTGGCTGCCACCCCTTCTCGGGGGTGAAAATTATTTGAATAAAAATAACCCCAGGAATCGATACAGAGACAAATTCTAAGCAAAATTTGTTATATGAAGTTTTTGGAATAGATCAATACTTTCCGAGTTATTAAAGATCAAAGACTGATTTTTCTTGATAAAAATACACGTTTAAAGCGGTTTTTCATAAATAACTTAAAAAATTTTTTTACATAAAATGTGTCATTATTAAAATTGAAGTTAATAAAAAACAAACAAATCCCTACTTTGAAAAACCTAATATTAATTCAAAGTGAGCTGTAGGTAATTGTATGTATATATTTTTTTTTCTCGGTGAGTACTTAAATCTAAGTATTTAAACTTAAATAACGGGAAACCGATGCATTTCATGACATATACTTCTTGAACACTTTAAAGTACTCGGAAATACCTTTTTACTGAGCACTGTTTAAGTTCATAGCATCAAAATTGAGCAAGTTATGATAAAAATAAGATGACACTTTCTAGTTATTTTTGGAAAAAACGAAAAATAAAACCTTAACCATTTCCACAAAAATTCAAATTATTGGTTATCCTTTTAAAGGACTTTCTTTTTTTAACATAAGTGATGACCTCAAATATTTTGCCCGGTTTAGAATGCTTATAATTAAAAAAAAGTATGATTTAATAAAATCGAAATTTTTCCAATTCTCGTAAATTTCATTTTCTTTTGAAAATAACTTAAAAAATATTGGATATTCGTAAAAATGATACAGAACGAAATTTGAGTTCTTTTTTTAACAAAGATTTTGTTTTTTTTTTTTTTATAGGATGTAAAATAACCGAGATAGAGACGTTTAAAGTCTAAATTTTACTGCGAGAACCATGTAACCGGGAATCTTTAACCCTTTATCTTTTAAAGAACAATGTCTTTAAAAAATCTTTAATATAAAGAAATATTTAATAAAAAAAAAAAAAAAAATAAGACGATCTTATCGCTCTCGACCTTTCAAATAGTTTTTGGATGAACCTGATATCTTAAAAATTAACGGAGTTATTGTAAAAAACACAAATTATATTTTTGGAAATTGGAAAAATTTTTGGAGCAGAGATTTGGTTTGCATATATTATAGGAAAATGTGTGAACAGGTACATGCTGTCTAAATACACATGAATGGGTGTGTGTAATATTAATAAAGTTTGAAATATGAATTTAAATAAAATTTATCTTAACTATTAAAAAAGATTCTAATGAAAGATTTAAAAAATTCTAATTAATATTAAAAATTTCTCTAATTTCTCTCTAACTACACTGGGTTGGCTGGAAAAGATCTCTTTCAGAGATAAGTCCTCTCTTGCTAACAAGTTGTTTAACTAATTGTCGCATGTATTGTTTAAGTGCAATGAAGAATATATATAAAAATATTTCATTATTATTTTCACAAGGGGTAGTTTTTAAGGGTGAAAAATTTCGCAATAAATAAATAAATATTTTAATACTCCGTAAATAAGATTTCACTTTAGTAATGTACTATTTAATAGGTTAAAGTTTTTGAAACCAATTTTTACAGTGATTCTGCAATACAAGGGTAGTTTTTAAGGGTTGAAATTTCAATGTCAACCGAAAATTATATTATAAGTATTAAACAAACTGTTTATGTAATGTTAATTTGCGATTTTAAAATTTAGAAATACAAAAAAATATTTTTTCATGATGTTCAGTTTAAGGGGTGGTTGCTAAAAGGGTTGAAAAAATAATTAAAATCATAAATCATGCATATAAATATTAAAAAAACATTTATTTTATCTATTATAATTAAACATAATTACTTAAGCCGGAATGGTTAAATCTGCATTTTTTCTTATTTTTAACAAAAGGGGTGGATTTCACCCCTAAAATACAAAAAGCGCAAGACGGTCATATGTCACTTTTGAAGTAGAGGGTGTAACATATTCAATCCCAAATTTTCATCCAAATCTATAGAGGTTCAATGAAATCGGAGGTCGTAGCTGATTTTTGCCTTCATTGACTGTACTAATACTGTCAATGAATTTTTAACAGTGCCTTAGTAAAACTTGGGCATTTTGCAGAAGAGCAAAAAATATACTGAATAAAATATTTATTTTCGTTTCTATTGTATTTATTTTATAACAGTAACGTTAACAGTTTTGTTGTATGTTGTATCAGCCCTTAACCGTCCACTGCTGAACTTAGCCTACCTCATAAAGGTGTTTTGCTAGTAATTGCCACGCTTGGCAGACAGGTAGTCTTTTGGTTATGTTTTAAGAAGGATACTGCTGCCTATTGTTAAGAACCTACTTAGTTCAATGGCAGGCAATATGCATTCTAGCAGCGCTTGTCAATGTAAAAAAAAATAATAATAATAGAATAAAAATGACGGATTACCCTTTTGTCTTACATACTATGAACATTGACTGAACTTGCTAACTGACTAATATTAACTAGTGTAGGTAACCAAAATCCTAGTCCTGGTTTTCCTTAATACTGATCCTGATCCCGGCGTTGCTTAATACTGGTGAGTGCTACTACCAATTTCCTATATTATACTGCTGCCTATTCCTTCACCGTAAGCTCCTTTAGTCACTTCTTACGACATTCACGGGAAAGGAAGGGGTGGCCTATTCTATACCAAAACCTACACATGTTTATAGTTTTACAAGTTTACAGTTTTAACATAGGACAAATATTTAAAATCGACTGATTAGCTCAGGTGATTTCCACTACTTTTATCAATTAAATGACATACAAACTGTCTTTTAATAGGCGAGATTTTAATAATGTCACCTGCTGTCGTTGTGGTGCACGTAACATTTGATATGTCCACGTTTCGTCTAGCATATTAGATAGAATTTCACGTAGCTGACTTTTTATACGGATTAATTTGATCTATTTTCAGTTTTTTTATATTAGTGGAGAGCTGATCGAAAATTTAAATATTTCCGAACCGATACGACATCATAACATTGAAGAAAAGAGCATATTCCTTTTTAAAACAGACTGAAGAAAAATCAATATTTTTTTTTTATTATATCTATTTATTAAAACTAAGAATATATGAATAAGATAACGTACAAATAAAGCATAACAACCTAACAACAGTTTATAGTTACTCCTCTCCATCCAAAGGTTGCCTGGAAGTCGCCCATTGTTTTTTCACTGTGATTATTTCTTGTTTGTATTTATAATAGGTTTACTATTGCTATCTTTTGGAGAAAACAATAAAGAGTATCTATCTATCTAACTGTCGTATAAGTTTTGCTAAACATATGCTAAGTAATCACAACAAACATAACAAGGAATTTCTTAGAATCTTCGATACGTATGGTGTGGACAGTCGAGATAAATACGTACGTGGCACATGTTAGACAATAAAATAACAAAACAACAAACTTTTTTATATTTTTCCTTATTTAGAGTAGATGTGATGCTACATAGATACGCTCATTGTATGGGTAAGAAGGTAAACCAACTAAAGTTAAGTAATTTCGCAACAAAAGCTAAGACTAGAGACATTCATCGGAGTTTGGGCGCTGACATGTAATTTGAGAGGGTATGAGATCCGATCGCAGAGGGCAGCAGGCAGCGACCATGCTGTGCTTTAGTACGAGTGGCTATACTTTGGTTGTGTGAGTTTGTTAAATAGAAATCTGTGAATATAGATTTAGGATTAGAACAGAATAACTTACTTAGGTAGGGGGAAGGGGATTGTTTGTAACAGTATCTAGTAGTCTTTATTTCAATATTTTGATTTATAGTCTAAGTCCGCCTCCTCCCGGTCTCTCCTGAAAACTACCGTGATTAGTTCCTAGTGTATTTGTTCTCTCATCATTCACTCGTACTTGCCAGCGTATACCAATGGAGCAGGAAGGGTTATCATTTATTTTCATTCCTTAAAAAATATTTAGGTACTTTGACATCATAACTTCTTTAGATATATAATTATGTTTGGCTCAATAACCCTGACCGAGAAGTTCAATAAGTAGGCAGTTATATAATGATTTAACCATGAAATTTATACACCCAAATACACATTTCCTTGGCCCTGAGCTTTGACCTACGATCCACAATAGGTTCGTGACCTTGTACGGAACTTGCATTACAGTGGCCATTCGTAGTAGTAGTACGCATTCGGGTAAAAGTTCGCAGTTGCAATGGAAAATCAATTATAATAACCTCATTTATAATCACCTATTTTAGTTTGGTTTCTACTGTGACAGCTATTTAAACAATAACTTAATAAAACAAATATATGTATAAAATTATGTATTTATTTATTTAAAGTAAAATATACATACTAAAACTTTTTAAATATTAACTATCTCATATCATCTCAAAATAGTAAAACTGGGAAGTTAGGTACATTTTGTTACACCTATACGTAACAATGAGAGTTTATTTAATGATTTATGAAAAATATTATATTCCAAACGACAATATAATGAACATAAATTATTTATTTACAAATAAGACACAGCAATGGAACAGCGCAGATGATTAATGAAGACATTCGTCATGAATGGGTAAGACTAGATTAGTTCTACGTCGAGTCACGTTCTTCGCAGGACAATATTAGTTCAACTAATTAATGTATTTATTTTGTAATAAGAAAGTCGTTTTTGACGATTATTTTTGGCAATCAATAGTCGGATATTGGAAGGTTGTAGAAACTGGAGAATATTCAAAGTGATCTATCATAATCAAATAGATCGTGTACCGTATAACTCTTACTGTTTGAGGAAGAAGATTCAAGAACATTCAGAACCGGCGTATATGTGCATATTATCGGGTTTGTTCAGTCAATACTATTATTGACTGAACAAAGTATTTATATACTAGATTTACAGTCAAAAGGTTTTGTGAAAAATTCATCGTTTTGCCCAATGATTATAAATGACCGTAATAAGTGATTATATTTTTAATATTTATATTAAAATTACATTTTATCGTCTGCATTAAAAATTAAAATTTAACACCGAAGACTTAGGTCTTTTTCTAGTTAATTCGTGTTTGATTTCATATTTAGAGACGTAATTTAGCGAGCAATATCATGTGTAATTTTATTTTAGGAGTTTTTACTTACTTGGTATTATTGACTGGATATGCGACGTAATATATGTATATTAATTTTAATTAATTACAATATATTCTCATTCAAATGTGCAAAGATTGAGACTCAACGAGAGGAACTAAGAGCGTAAAGGCGCGCGTTTCACAATAACACACGCCACTACGCCTGCTTATAGTACGTAAGTGATATAAAACTTAACAAGTTAAATTCATTCAATGACAAGACGACGCGCGCTCTGCGTCGACTTGCCATTGAACGATTGAATGAACGGTGTAAAACGGTGACGATTGCTAAGACGACGCAATTGATATTTATGTCAAAATTGAAATAGATACTGCCTACCCTAATGGGAGACAGGCGTGACAGATATGTATGTATGTATGTATGAAATAGATTCATTCTATATATTTTTAGTCAATTAACAGTAGAACCCAGTTTTCGCGCCATTTTTACACTTATAATGGGGCCCATTACATTTTTTAAAACTTTAAAGGGAAATTTTTCGTCTGTATCTCCGGATATTAGTTATGTATTGTGCAGATACAGACACTGTAAGGAGTATTTTAAATTAAATACAGTATCCTCAATTTTGATATCTATAGTCGAAAACGCATAAACAATAGTACCTAGTAGTTAAAATTTATTTAATTTTATTACTTTATTCAGCATAATTAATGCTTTATATTATTGGTACCCATCAAGTTTGAATAATGCAATTGAGCCATTTCTTTAGGTAGATTGCAACATATTTTATCTTCTATTACTTAGCGATCGTTACCGTTATCCGTTAATAATTTGACCCCTCCACCTCTATTGACGGCCAATTCCACATACTCAGTACGAAGAGTCTCATGAAAATCACAAAAAGAACTCCGGTCTACTTCTGTGTACAACTAAAATGGCCGCCAGCCTCTGTAGGGCGTAACTACGTTACTTCAACTCTAGCCGATATTTGGACCCTAATTTCTCTTACCTGTACTAAGTTTACTTTGGAAGTGAGAACACAGCAGATCCCGTAACAGAGTGTAAGCTTCTGGATGCTTTAAAAAAAATGTCTTATAAAATGTATGCAATTATATAGAAAATGCTTTTAATTTTCCGTACATGTCTACAATACCCCGTACCTAGGCCGATTTCGAAAATGTTCTGGCCATGTGGTTTAGTAATGGATCTGTATGAGATTATTGTAGGTGGCTGGTATAATTATTCGAGTTGAATCTGAAAATCGATAATCTTAATTGTTAACAAGCCCCCCGGTCTTAAATTTTTCGGATTTTTCAGGTGGATGGGGGAATGACAGAACTTATTTCTGCACTATGTTGTATATTATATTTACCATGATCCTGATTATTATTAAAATAATATAACTATTAACTTTTTTATTAATAATATTAACATTTTGTTAATAATATTATTAACAAAATGATGTCACATTATTCACATCTGTATGTAATAAATACCACTGTCCAGATCCAGCGCTCTCTGAAGTTTATTCTCTGTTTATGGATCCTCTGTTACTCTGTGGTGAAAACGAATGGTTCAAGTAACGTAGGGGCGGTAGTACTTGAGTTACACTCTCGTGTGGGTATCATCGTTGCTAGTGGGGAGCGGCGGAGGAGGGGCGTGTAACACCCTCGCCAGTTCCGCCTTCTCATCAGCCGAGAGTACATACACGGGTGGCGCTGCGGGGAGGAACCGCTCGGCTTTGTGAGGCTCTCTTTGGAGTCGAGCGCGGTACAACATCACCAGAACGCACAGGACGCTGATGATGAAGGCTGATGTGGCAGCTAATACTATTAGTGCTGTGTGATAGGACGTTGTTGCTGATACCTGAAAAAAGGGAATTAATAATAATTGATTAAAAATATTTATACTTATTTATTTATTTTTATTTGTTTATACTTATTACATAATTACTTATTGAAATAGCTATTATAAATGTAAAAATTTGTACTCAATCGTGCTTAAATAGATGAACAAATTTAAATAAAATTTGGCATACGAGAAAGCATTGGGATCTGAATTGGGATGTAGTTGTGCGAGACGTCCTAAAAGCCTTAAATTACTGGTAGTTTCTTACGCTGTGGCACATTTTTTTATACAACTGACAAACAAGCATATGGTTCAGCTAATGGTAAGCGGTTACCATAGCCCATGAACGCTTATAATATCAGAGACCCAGAAAAATCCTCTTTATTCTTTTTCGAAGAACCCCATGCTGTAGTCTCTTGGGAAAAATTCGACAGGAAGCTCGTTCTTTAACCTGAGCGTTCGTGGTAGGAAACATCTCTGAAACCGTGCTGTATGCGACCATTTAGACTTTAAGATATGGGGGTGAACTCTCTATTGTTGGCGCACTGATCGATGGTAGAAAAAGTCCGTGGGCATCATATTGAACAATTCCTCACAGCACAATCCATTGTATAAGCAATAGAAAACGCAGAGTTAGGCAAAATCTCTCCTAAGATTTAAGGGTTTTATACCCATTCATATAGATATTATATTGTAGATGATATCTGTGAGAAGTGGCACAGGGCACATTTCGTTGCGTAATGAGGTTCCGATCGACTTGTAGTTAAACCAATTCAAGAAGTTTTCTAAATTATCTCGAATCTGGATGTTCTGGATTACGCTCCTAGATGTTAGCTGTCAAGGTCCTCACAACTCAGGTTATCCGAAGTGGAAGATCAGGTGACTGGTGTGATTGCAATGCACTCATTACAATGTAGGCAACTTACAGTGGACTCGGTGAGTATCTCGCGCTGCTGCAGGGCGGGTGGCGGTGGCGCGGCCAATCGGTATTCGCTTCGGACCATGTCGGCGCCCAGCGCGCCGCGCTCGCCCGACAGCTTCTCCTGCTTCACCTGCATCACATAGAACTTACTTAGTACCAGAACCGATATAGAGTATAGGCGTGACATTACCCCCTTACTTAAAAAATCGTATTACTTGGCACCGAAAGCAAAGACTAATTCAACATTTTATATTAATATTTTAGCGTACATAAATGGTTTAGATCTTTATTATTAATTTCGTTTACTTATATTTCATAAATTCAGTAAAGCAATTACTATAAGATATTATTATTTTAAAATAATAGATAACTGTACAGGCGAATGACAAGAAGGGTTTATAAAAGTTTATGAGGTAATTTCCTAAAATTTTTTTTTCAGTTCAATTTCTATCGAAATTGATTCTAGGATTCTTCGAATACATTTTATGAATTTTCGTTGTTTCTTATAATTTCCAATTTGATTATGCACGGACATTAAAAATAAATGGTATTTGTTTGTTTTTTTATCAAGAACAACACAATTCACTACCTAGACCGATCTTGAATATTTCCGAACATGAATGTTCAGTAATGGGACTATAATGAGTATGGTATCGATAGTCCATCTATAATATCTGTACGAGATTAACACATATGACAGGAAAAATGATTTGAATTGAATTTGTTTCAACCAGTTTCAAAATTATTAACAAACCCCCAGTCTTAAATTTGTCAGTTTTCTTGGGCGAATGAGGGAATGAGAGAACTTATTTCTACACTCTGTTGTAGAATACGAGTGTATATTAGTATTTTTTAAATGTTTGTGCATAATCAAATAGGAAACTATAAGATATATGCTGCACTATATCTAAATCTGATGAAAAGCAGGTAAAGATATTCAGAGTTCTAGCAAACTTTTAATTTTTAAAATTCAAGACTTACCAGGTTCTCAACATGATAGACGATGTCGACAGCCCTAGGTCCAGCGAGCACGGCCCGCAGTCGTGTCGCAGTCTTGTCACGTAGCAACCCTACGGGCACACGCGCGCCCAGCGCCGCTAGTCGAGCCGCCAGCGTATTACGAGCGCGCTCTGCTACCAAGCTCTCCACGTTCAGCAGTTCTAGCTCCAGGATAGCCGAGTCTACTTGAGTTAGTTCTGTTAGAAATTAATATAGGAGATGAGCACAGATATAGTTTCAAACAGATGTCGCTATTGCACGCACATCTAAATTCTATCATGATAAAGACTACAGAAGTTTGTAAAGATAGCATTTCATATGAGCTTGTAAATTACATAAATAATATATTTATAAATATTGTGAGCAAGGGTGGCCTTATCTCTGAAAGAGATCTCTTCTAGTCAACCCAATAAAGAAAGCATGCCATTAGCGGGCAGCTAAAATGCACGAATGTTGTACGAACTACATCAATACTAATCAATACATAAGCTACAAATAAACAGCTGAATAAAATATTAGTATATAATATTACATAAATATTTTATGTGATATTTCAAAACTGGTTGCTGTAAAAAGAAGTTTACATTCAATATATTTTAATATAAGTATTGCTAGCGCCCTTGACCGACCGAGTTGACAACTTTGAACAGTTGTACCTCCAGGAATAGACTAGTTTAGTTGCTTTTTTTTTTTTTTTAAATAAAATAGGTTAAGAGAATTATTCTGGGCTGATTAAATGCTACATCCATGCTGAAAAAAAGTGTATCAAGAACTTTAAAAATAACAATTTCTTTACAAACTCGTTGTTGTAACCTTGTTTTAATTATTTTGCTGGGATATATTGATTGACAAGAATGAAATCTAACATTTTTTGGTTTCCTTATATCTAAGTTTCTCGCTTTTATGATATTAGCACTTAGAATACAAGCAACTCACCACAAGGATCTGGAGCTGGTATCTCTGGCACTATGGTGGCATGTGGCCGTCGCTGGCCAGCCGCGTCCACGCACCAGCAGCGGCCGCGAGAGCACTGCCGCGGGGAGAACGACCCGTCTGATAGACATCTAGGGGGAGGACCCTCAGCTCCTGAAAAGATCGAATACCATCAAATATTAGTGAAATAGACTTAAATAAGTACGCAGTGTAAAATCGAAATATTTAGCTTGCTTTTAAGGAGGTAGGACCAGTAAAACTGAAGATTTATTCCAAGGAAACAAGAAAAGGATTAAAAAACATCAAAAAGTTGAAAGCCTTCCATACTAATTAATTAGCTGAATGCGTCTTGTTCTTCCTTTCTTTATTATCCTTAGAATGTTGTAAAGGGAGGCTAGAGAAACAAAGTACGAAGCACGAGTACAAGAGAAGCAAAACTACGATGACGGAACAATATCATAAATAAACAATAATATATCGATAAATAAACAAGATGTTAATGAATGATTAAACTCAAATAGCTAAGAGAGACCGAGGGAAAGTTGACAAATGAAGAGATCCAATTTTGGTTGAGAGATTATCTCTTAAGAGTCTTAAGATATATAGAGCAATCATTTTAAATATGTTTCATTTATGGCCAAAAAGCGATATTACATAAGTAACTATACAACGAGCCTTACCATTTTCACTTTCTTCTTGCATCATTTGACATTTAGTCTTGAATACGATTTTCTCCTCAGAAACTTCTAGAGGCTTGTCAACTGTCCTCGCAACATCTGTCCTTGGTTCGACAACCTCGGATAGCACTGTTGCACTATTTTCGTCTTCACCGTTATTGTCATTGTTGTCTTTGGATTCGTCTTCTTGCATTTGACCTTCTATGTCACTAAGGTCTTCTTCTTCTTCGTCGTCGAAGTCGTCTTCTCGATATGTGGTCATTTGCATAATCAATTCTTCTAGCACTGAAACAAATGTTTTATTAATATTTAACTTGAGCAAGTGTGAGTTTATTTTTTGTAATTATTTTAATTATTTCCTCTGTTCTCTTTGTATGAATATTGATTTAACAGTTTATACCAACATAGATTCTAAATGGAAAGCCGATTTCAGTGTGCTAATTTTGTTGGTGATGGAATTAAGTTTCTTTAATGAAAACATGTTTATTAAGACGGAATATTTTGAATTTGTTATAATATTAAATATATTACGAATCTATTGATAGACATGTTATTATTATTTCATGCATAAATCAAAACGAGGCAATGACATCCAATGCATTTTGTTCTATCACATCAGGGGTGCTCTAAGGAAAACGTATCTACCAATGATGCGTTTACTTGTCTAGTACCCTTGAAAATGGTGAAAATTTGTAATAAAATTATTCTAACTAAAAAAAAAACGATACTTACCCTCTGCAGCTCTAGCTCGTTGGTAGATCGGGTCGCGTTGCACCCACTTTCTCGCTTGTCTAAAATTGCATGTGGGCTTGGCACCACGCACCATAGAACCCTTCAGTGACTCGCCGTGAGCGCTCACGCACCAGCATACGTCTGGTCAAAAATAAGGGTTCTTAAAACGACTCGAGCTATAATATTTTAGAAATTCAGATTTTGATTTACAATAGTCGTTTAGGTACCTGTGTCCCATTCGTATTTCAACGGTAAAGCAGTTGTATTTGCATGGCTATGTTTCAGTTTGAAGGGTGGGGTATGGCGTGAATTTACAGGGTACAGAGGAATAACATCTGAGTCCTCAGGAGTGGCAACGCATGGGGGGTATCATGGGCGAAACAGTAAACTCTGTTATGTCCATGGTACTGCTCATGTAAGCGACATAAGCGACCACTTTACATCAGATGGGTCGTCAGCTTGTTTGCCATTCTAGGTTGTATAAAAAAAAAGAATATTTATATATACTATTAGTACAATAGCTAATAATCGAGACTTCATAAATTTTAATATTATTCTCTACCAAGAATGAAAATATCGTTTTGATAAACTTACCAATATCCAGCATACATTGCACCGGTTCCCAGAGGCCGGAGGCATCACATTTAGGTATGAACGACACCTGGCCATATTTCTTCGCTTTTGCTTCATTCTTCTCGCGTAGTCTCTCACAAGGGCTCAGTACTGTACAAGTAAAGAAAATTAAAAAAAAAATCCTAAATAATTTATATCTAAAATAAGAAAAATTTCTGAAATTATAAAATTATAATTTATTTTTCTATGTATTATGTTATTACTGTCATTTATATAGTTAAAATTATATATTCAGTATACTCTGTTATGTCCATGGCGTTGCCCATGTCTATAGGCGACTGTTACCACATTCCAACAGGTGGCTTGTTTCCCATTAAAAAATAATAATGATAATCATACCTGGTATGCTTTTTCTAATACAAATAAACAAATATATATAAAAAAAAGAATCCAAATATTGCATTCGACCTTTGCTTCTTTTATTTTTATAAATAACTGATATAAAAAAAATATGATACCTTTGTATAAAAAACATTGTCCCTAATCGCATTTCTACTAAATCTGTATGCTTTGTAATACACATCGCATTCTTTGCGTTCTACAATAATGGCAAAACCAGTTATTTTGATATAAAAACTAAACCACTGAATCGATTTTAATAAAATTTCTATGAGATCAATCGATAAGTATATACTTTCATATAAAAAACCCCAAATCGGTTTATAATTGACACAGTTGTGAGATAACAAAAATAAAAAAAAAAAACAACTGAACTGAGAACCTTCTTGTTTTTAAAGTTTATTGAAAACAAAATGTAATTCTGTGGACGTAGATATATAGTTTTGGTAGACAAATTAATGGTGGATGCTCAGCATCAACACGGCATAACGAGACATAAATAATAACAAAATAATAGAATAATTTCACCTTATTTATTTATTTAAAGTTTAATGCACAGTAAAATTCTATGTTCATTTATCGAACTTAACACCGGACGGTGTTCTCTACCAGCCAACCATTGGGCAAACAGAAATACGTAGGCGGTGCATTATTAAATAGAAGAAAAATAAAGCAATATCAAGTATTCATAAATTTATTCCTTATTAGAAGTAAAAGGAGCCATCACCGGAAGAAAAAGAGATACAGAAAGGAAGCGCCGACGACATGTTACATTTTCATAATGGAGGTTAGATAAACACAGTTAAGAACGTTTAATTACAATAATTTTAAGCCGTTAAGTTTTATGCACAAGGCAATTTTAAATGCCACGTACGTGAGTTTGCATACTTGAAGCTTTGAATAGGAATATGTACATGTTATATACACATATACGTTACAAAATGTAATGCATTTTAAAAGTAGAATGTGCATTGACTCGAATCATGCTTCTTCTATATATAATATGATATGTATGTTATTCACATACAACAATATTACGTATTCTCTGATGTAATGTTCATGTTTAAAATCTTATACAACACGCAAATGCTTTCGGATATACAAAAATATAATAAAAAAAATACAAAATAAATAAATAAAGTATTTATTATTTATGACTATAAGGAAACTGGTATAATTGGAGCTAGTTGTGCAGAAAATCACCCTCAGACATCCATAAGCCCTAATTATGTCTATAATTATATCATCTTATTATTCATAAAAACTAAAACCTTCTACAAGCCTATTTCAACGGGGGGAAAGGGATTGTTAGTAATGGAGACTGAGAATCCCATTGCTAGCAATATACCCAACCAGGTCGATCTCCTCGCGGTTCTCCCTGGAAACTATCATGGTTAATTCCTGATAAATTCATCATGATGGGCTAACTGGCCTGTTTTCATTCTCATCTATCATCCTTCACTGACGCTCCGCCAGCGTATCCCGTTAGCGCAGGCGGGGTTACCATACCATTTTCACTCATAAAAAAAAAGCCTATTGCGACTATTACACTCTTTTGCCACTTTCTTTCAAATTAGGAATTTAGTGTAAAAGAAATAGACAGAACAGTCCAATAGCTAAAATAGGATTATAAAAGGTCTGGTGTTTTTATGAATAAGGGAGAAAAATAACATATTATCTATGATTATAGTCTAAAATATAGCATATAGAGAATATATATATATATATATATATATATATATATATATATATATATATATATATATATATATATATATATATATATATATATATATATATATATATATATATATATATATATATGTCTGTTTTTATATCAAACATTTCTTCACTACAGTTGAATAATTAAATAAACAAGGAATAATTAAATAAATATCCATAACTGATTGGGACGAGCATAATAAATTGTCGTGTGCATAAACTCTTATATTGTGAAGTAGTTTAGTACTAGTTAAGTATGGTTAATAAGTTAATACACAGTTAATCCCATTATACACCAACACGGAAAATAGATGAAGAGGACATGCCTTCTCCTTTAAGGTTTGAAGATGGTGAAGTCTTCTTTATGGACAGTTTGGTGGGAGCCCCTTCCACTGTTTTAAAAGCAAAGAGTTACGTGGTTGAGTAATCGCCTCTTAGTTTCTGATCGCCTGTCCGTATTAACAAAGTTGGATGTGTAATGTTACTATACCATATTAATCGTTAAATGTCCACTGCTAAACATAGTTCTGTTCTATTGGAGGGTTTGCCAGTAGTTGCCACACTTGGCAGGTGGATTGGCAATTGCAATTAGGCTTTGGTGATGAAGAAGGACATTGCTGCCCATCCTTCGTGCCCATCCTTCGACAATTAAGTTTCGTTAGTTGTCTTTATCGACATCCACGGGGATGAAAGGGGTGGCCCATTCTATGCCAGGACCACACGGAGGAATGTGTAACGGTGTAATATTAGGTACAATTTAAGATTATTCGACATTTTTAATAAGGAACAAAGTTGGATATATGATACACTAGCTTTTATCCGCGACTTCGTCCTCGTGACCGGGTTATATTCACTGACCGGGATAATAAATAGTTTAATCGCTTCTGTACCATTTAGAACGTGTATACCAACTTTCATAGTAGGTAGTTGGTAATAAACAAACTCACTTTTACATTCATAGTATCATTCAGTATTGTTTACTTTTTTTTCACAATAACTGATTTTTAAATAAGATACAATTATATTAGGAAACCTAATATAATATATTCTCACAATTATATACTCCATTGTATTATAAATATAGACTTAACATTGTACGTCGGACTCTGTTAATATGGACAGGCGTGATGTTTGTAGGTTTTAATAATGATTTAGAATAATTTTTATGAGATTTCTATATTAAAAGATAAGTGATCTAAGCAGAAGGTTAGAAAATTCTTAAGAACTATAAATTATTTCAAGAATTTAATTTATGTTTTAATTTGTCAATATGTAACCATATAATGCACCAAATTTTTTAATATTTACATAATCTAAAAACTTATTATATTAATATATTTATACATACATGGTGAAATATATATTTTTTTTATTTTAAACAGTAAATATTTTCCCAATGATATACATAAAACATTTTTCCAAAGAAATACGAGTGGAAAACATAGACGTATTTAGAGAGTGGCCAGGTAGGTCGTGCTCAACCCAGAATCTTCCGTTGCCCACCCCAGACATGTTTTTACGAAGCTTTGCTTCTTCGTAAAAACATGTCTGAGAGTTCTTACGCCTCTTTTTAAGGGATGCCAGTCTCTCTTTATAATCTTAAATATGCCAATGGGGGAAAAACAATAAAAAAACCCAGAGCTTTAACAGCAAAACGCAACGGGAGGTGACTCGAATTTCATGTCACAGCAAATAAATGTATATTACAGCAAATAATCTCATAAAATGAAATTAAATTATAATACTTCAGATATACAATACTGTACACGAGGCCTTAACAATTGAACACTTGAATGGATGAAAGTGATATGCAGTATTTTCTGATTTTTGCTATTTTATAAATGGATGGAGCCCATTAAGATGCCCTATGTGTATACTAACATAATTTATATTTACACTTGGTTACTATAATTTATAGTTATCATGTCATCTCCACCTATATATAAAATAGCAAAATCCGAAAATATGACATATCAACAGCAATGTATAAAACATGTTTGTATTCGTATTTTAAAGAGCGTATTGTTTAGTTCGATAGAAATCAAATTTTGAATCTTCTGATGTAGGAGCAATTTACAGTAGGTGGCATGCGAGTCGTATTAGTTAATTCTTACTTACCAGGACAAGCGGTGTTACACTCATCTTTACTCTTGAAGTTGTTATGGTTGCCCGAGCAGCCGTAGTAGCGGAACCGTTCGCAGCGGTTGTGCTTATGGTTGAAGTACCATCGAGTTGTGTTCAGTCGTTCGGTTCCCTCGCAAGTACCCTCATCTTTGGCCTCGAAACACACCGTGTCTATTCAGAGAATATAATTGTTATGAAAAGGTATTTTAGTCCCTACCAAGGCAAAGAGCTGACAGATTATTTAAAAAAAAAAGTTTTTTATGCAAATAGGAACGGGCAATAGGCAATCATTGTCTATAGACATGAACAGAACCAAAGAGATTACCAAATGCACGGGCATGCATTGTCATTCTTGAAGATGGCACAGCTCAATGATGTGCAGTTGAGAAATTGTGGGGCACCTTACAGCTGGAGCAGTAGAGGAAGACCATTAGAAGAACTTATAATGCAGTAGATTGATGGCACTTTGTTGGAATAGTACTAGAAATTCATATTTATTTGTACCATTTCTATATTTATATGTCATAGATATTTATTTAAGGATGATTTTCAACAGGTGCGATTCTTGGCCAAGTTTGGTAAAGTCTTTCAATTTCGAGTCCAAAAAAGCCAATATTATCAAAATAACAACTTTGAACCGAGAAAGTTCACTTTAATTGGACAGAAATCGCACTTGTTGAAAATCACCCTTAACTATTATTTTGAGGGCTAAAGTTAAGTTTCTTGCTTATTCTTTGCTCTTTCAGCCAAAATTGCATTCCGAATAAGTGGTAGAAATATAAAAAAAAATGGCTCGAAAACGCTTATAACTAAGTTTACGTGAATAAAAATGATTCTGACTCTTATTCCTAACTGGTTCTATTTTTAGGAAAAGTAATAAATTGTAACTGACGTGGCTTGGGGCAGCAGACGGAAGGCCTGGAGTCGTGTGGAGCGTACGTGCAGGCGTGCGTGGATGGGCACGCGGCCGTGGTCGGCCCGCATGCCAGTGGAGTTGTCTCCCCGGGAGGAACTAGCGGTTGGGCGCCGTCTGGACACGTGGGTGTCGGTCGACACCGCACCAGTGGGTGGCAGTTTTCGTCCTACATCGAGGGGAACGGTATTTTATATAACGAAGTTTATAAGCATACGGTTCGGATGATGTGTTTTGTTTACCTGGACCTCGTTTGTTAGTATGTAAGATTGAGACTAATGTCATATTTAATGTATTTTCGGTCGCATGAATACCATGAATACCATGAAATCAGCGTAAGCAGTTAACGCGGACTGTCAATTCAATTAATTTATTTATCTTCGATCGAATATTTTCTATAAGAAAATCTGCTGTGATCATAAGAAGACATACACACCGATGACCTATATCTTTGGACAATTAACAACAACGTGTTTCCTCCAACCTTTATAGGTTTATATTGTATTGACCATCGCCATCTTCATTTCATGATTATAAATGTTGGTATTGTGAAGGTTTTGAAAGATGAGGCGATATATTATATCTTCTCTACACGTCCAAGGTCAGTTATGTATTTTCAAGATTTAATACTAAAGAGCTTACATACCTCACACTCTAAAGGCACTAGCTCGCAAGTTTCATCAGGTCTGCATTTAGCCTCAGCACATAGATCCCTGCATTCGCAAATTGGACAGCCGTTTTCATCTAATGCTGGACCATGAGGGCAAATGACATCTTCATTACACCCAGGGTCAGGGCACTGAGCTGGAGCCTCGCAGTTTGGCTGGCCCTCCATTGTCCTGGTACCAGGAATCTATAAATTATGAAAAATAATAAGTTCCTTTTTATTCAATTTGAAAATGGTGTCAAATTTTCGATGTTGGTAAAATCGAAAGTTTCGAATTAATTTTGAATTTTTAGATCTACTCTGCATTTAAAAATCTAGAAGTATATTTCAATCCGACAAAAAAGTGAGCCTTTCATACATAGAAAGTTGAATATATTCTAAATTGAAATTATTAGTATTTCAATTTAGAACGCGGACTGTTTTATATAAACATATGAAACATACAAACTTTCGTCCTTCTCATTAAAGTATAGAGAACTTAATCATTTGAAATTATTAATATAAATAAATAAAAGTTAGGTAAAATGAGAAATTGTAAAATGTGTTAGTTACCTCATTACCAGCAGTATCAACACACCAGCAGGTATGGTTCGAGTCCCGACACTGGACGTTGGTGTAGGCGCCCTCATCGTCACAGTTCGGTACCCATGTGTGAGCTGGCGGACTGCCTTTCTCTGCCGATATGTGTAACGTCAGAGCTCTGGAATGTTTTAAAAATATTTTGTAAATTTTTTGCATACCATTTATAGCCGACATGGTCATCCTGCTAGGTAGATATATTCCCAGTAGAACTGTTTGAGTTCAGTTTTTTCATAAGTAGAAGCGGTCATATCTGGTTTGGTAGTCGGTCACGTCATGTGAGAGAGGGAGACTTTGTACAAAAGTCGATTGCTTGGGTACCTCTGTCCCATTCGTGTTTCAACCGTGAAGCAGTTGTGTTTGCATGGCTGTGTTTCATATGCTCATGTCTATAGGCGACGGTTATCACTTTCCATCAGGTGGACCGTCAGCTTGTTTGCCATTCTAAGTTGTATAAAAAAAATGTGGCTAGTAGAGGTGGCCAGTCAATACATTAGTGGGTCATACCTGATTGCTGATTTTTTGTGTCTCATTAATGTAGGTAGTTATAATTGACTAATTAATGCGTTACACCTAATTTGCTGATACATGGACTTGTCGTTGATAAAGGTGGTATATCTGATCCGCTGGTGACGATAGTGAATATTGTTATTTGTAGCCTAGTGGCAACCAGATATGTCACTATTTAATGTGGTTATACCTACTTCGCTAGTAATCGACTTTGTACAAAAGTCGATTGCTTGGGTACCTCTGTCCTATTCGTGTTTCTACCGTGAAGTAGTTGTGTTTGCATGGCTGTGTTTCGGTCTGAAGGGTGGGATATGGCGTGAATTTACAGGGAATTAGAGAGGAATAACACCTGAGTCCTCTGGAATGGCAACGCATGGGGAGTATCGTGGGCGAAACAGTATACTCTGTTATGTCCATGGCAGTGCTCATGTCTATAGGCGACGGTTACCACTTTGGATCAGGTAGGTCGTCAGCTTGTGTGCCATTCTATGTCGTATATAAAAAAAAAAAAAAACATTAGTGAAGGAGGTCATAATCTTCTTCCTGGTGATTAACGATCAACAGTAAAGACAGTTACGTCTTGCCGGCTGGTAGTCAGTGAGGTCCCTAGGGTACTTATCCTGTTTTTTTTTAATGGGTAATAATGGAATGGTAACCCCACCCGCGTTATCGGTATACACTAGCGGGGTATCAGTGAGAGATGATAGGTGAGGATAAAGCAGGTCAGTTAGCCCATCGTGACGAATTCAATAAGAATTTTTCACGATGGTTTCCAGGGGGAACTAAGTGGAGGTCGACCTAATAGGGTATATCGCTGGCAATGGGGCTGTCAAACTCCATTACTAACAATACCTTTCCCCCCCAGCTACTTGTCCTGTTATGCGTTCATGTCGTTAGTCGCATTGTCTAAACTAGACGCGTACTAAACGTAGTTGCAGCTGGTAGTCGGCCTGCTAGCAAACGATCACGCTGCTAGTAGAGGCGAGGGTAATACTGTCGGTCAACGAGTCCGAATGAGGTCGCCGCTAGAGTAGGTACCTGGCCTGCTGGCAGGCGGTGTGGTGCAGCGGCGCGGTGCAGGCGGTGCCGCAGCCGGTGGCGCAGCAGCGCGCGCCCGCCGCGCACTCCGCGTCCGACCGGCACGAGAACTCGCACGCGCCCGCCGCCGCCGCGTCCGGCACCAGGTACGGACACTGCCCGCGGCGACGCGGCAGGCCTGCGCATACAACCAGACGCGTGTTAATCAACCTCTCTTAACCCCTCGAGCGTTTATGCATCATACACTGTACGGAACAAAATTGTGGTACCGCGCGCTAATACAACAGCGTTTGTTGCATAACTCGAATTCACAGTGACGTTTTTATTAAATTTATGTTAGTCATTCATTTATGTAGATAAGAAACCCATTTATCCATAACCTATAATTAAAATTTGGTAATTTCAAAAATCGGTAACGCAGTGGGTGTAGCGAGCTAGCCTAGAGCCGCCCGCTCCACGGGTTAATAGCTTACTGCCAATTTTATCTATCAGGGCATCTAACTAACTTAAATTTCATAGTAACTAAAGTAGAACATTTTTTTTATGCAATATGGATTAAAGAAAGCGAATTGTTAGTCTACTTGATGGAAAATGGTAATCGTTGTCGGTAGAGATGAACAATGCTATGGTCATAACAGAATACATTGTGACGCAGAATATAATAACACCTCTGTTGGAATAAATGAGCAGTAAGCTTCTCTATTACGTAAGGTATACTCTTTTAATTTCGATTCACCCACCCCCCACCCCTTCCAGAGACATCGTGAAACGCCCTAATACGTAGCACAAAACTACACAAGACACTAGAAGGTTTACTTTGATGCTATTAATACCTCTCTTGTATACTTTGTAAATTCACTGCACATCTTCTCGATGGCAGAAACATATGTGGGGTAGAGGTACTCGTGTAGATGATTTTTCTAAATCCCTCTCTGGTAAAAGGTATTAATATAAAATAATATATTGATAGATGGTACTAACAGGCAGGCACAGGCGGGCAGTAGTCAGCGTCGCAGGCGACGTCGACGACAGTGCAGACGCGGCCAGCGGGGCAAGAGACGGCCGCGCACGCGTCGCGGCAGCGGCACTGCGGACAGCCGCCCGCGCCCAGCTCGAACCCATAGTCGCACCCCATGCGACACGTCAGCTCTAGACACTGCAGCTCTGACCGCACCCTGCGGATATAGCGGGGCTGTTATAGAGGCTGCACCATCCATGATAATCGTTAACAGGTGCACTACCTTGAAAGTGCTGGATCGTACCTTAAGCTCATAAATAAGTGGTTCTAGATATAGAAGTAACTTAGATCATATTATCTTACGTGTAACATAACATCTTGGATCTTCCCTTCTATATATTACTTTAATTTTCCATCTCGAAGTCATCAATCTTTCATGTATCTTACATAAAAAAGTTGTTTTGTATGTAGGCATGATAGGGACAAACAGTGAATTAGATTTAGCTAACTCATGACTCGTTTCAGTTCATGAGTTGTACATCGAATCATGTTTCTGCTAGAATTTGATGTACATGCCGAGTTGAAGGAGTCGAGGCATCAATACGATGTATAATACATTTCTGGATTGGCTAAGTCTAACATCAATATAAAAGGGCGTCAGTAAGACTACCTACTTTTTATTACTTAAGAACCACTTACTTTTCACAGTCGATAGAGGATGCATTAGTAGTGCTGGTGCCTGGTATCTCTGTGCCAAAGGAATCGACACACCAGCAGCGTCCGCCGGCGCACTGCTGGGCCTTGTACGAGCCGTCCGCAGTACATGTAGGCGCCGGCAAGGCTAGCTTCATACCGTCCACGGTGCCTTCCATCTTTTCGTCGAAATCTCGGAGGTATTCGCACACTGTAATAAGATAAAGTTCAGTTATTTGTAAATTATGACTGGTTTAGATTCATCATCATAACAATATAGAACATCCTTCTGCTAGGCACAGTGTTTCCTAATAATATAATTAGTTTATGACTCAGACCCTCATTAGTTTTACTGCATTTTGCTATCTTTATTTTAATATATTAATAACCAGTATAATATAGAATCAGTAGTTTTTTTTAATAGGTGATAATGGAATGGTAACCCCACCCGCGCTAACGGTTTACACCGGCGGGGCACCAGTGAAGAATAATAGGTGAAGACGAAAACAGCTCAGTTAGCCCATCGTGACGAATTCAACAAGAATTGTTCACGATGGTTTCCAGGGGGAACCACGTGGAGGTCGACCCAATAGGGCAAATTGCTAACAATGGGGCTGTCAAACTCCATTGCTAACAATCCCTTTCCCCCCAGAATCAGTAGTAGATAGTGTGTATATTGGTCAAATAGTTATAAGATCATATTCAACATATACATACACAGCTGCATGTTAGCAAGATGAGAGTCATATACGTAAATAGAACAAATGGAGAATATTTCAAAACCCTCGCACGCACTTTCTGAGTATTTCAGCGTCAAATTCAAACCATACGCTGTTGCTGTTTCGATGCCACAGAATTAGAAGCGTACTGGTAAATTAGATATAGACAGACTTACTAGTAGGCGTGTCATCGACCCGGTCGGTCTGCAGCCTCATCTTAGCGGGGTCGAGGCAGACAGGTCCGCAGGCAGCAGTGGAGCAGCACGTCAACTCGCCCTCGCACGCACCATCAGGGCAGCTCACAGTAGAATTCAGACCACACACTGCTTCTGCTTCCGCGCCGCATGATTCGAAGTTTATCTAATAGATTGCAGATAGAATTCCATAATATAGTAAATATAAGTTCATATGTTTTACGAATTGTTTGTACTGCTTAGAATGGCTAACAATATGATAAAAATAGTAGAATATAGCAACAGCTACTTGTAGCCACTAATAGCATTATGGATATATTGTGATATTCATGATTCATGTCATGACGACATTCATAGCCTTCTATCAAGTGGGTCGCCAGCATCTTTATCAGTACAATAAAAAGTAACATTGCAGATGTTAATGCTACGTCTCATACAGTTAGGGCTTCCTTTTAGAAAGTAGATTTCTTGAAAAATGGTATTTTTATAAACACAATAGTTAAATTTTCCATAAATGAGGAGGGCAACGTGCATCGTTTGCGACTCACTAGAAAACGAACGAAATATAACTATTTGAAAACTAGAACTTTTCACATTAAGACTGAACTACTCTGCACCCCACATACCCTTGTTATATTGTGTGTAATTCTAAACTTGAAACAAAGTATAATTCATCCTCTTTAGTTACTTTACAAAACAATATACACAACAACAATAACAGATATTGTCGATACAGCTAGCACGTATACATAAAAAAAAACACTAATAATAAAATAAATAAATAAATGTAGCGTATTTGAGAATCTTTAACTGCCTAGCAGTTTGCCTATGTGCTGTGTTCTAATTTAAATTATAACATATTTGGCACTGAATTTGCTAAGTGTGTGTGTTACATGGAATATGAACGAATATCTATGTAAAAAGTAACAACTCACATCCAGAACATCACTGTCAGTAGTGTTGTCCAGTTGGTGCGGGTCTGGGCAGCAGACGGATGCGTCGCGGCGCACTTGTGTGCACACGTGGTTCCCTGGGCAAGCCTCGCCCTCCTTTCCGCAAGACAACACCGCGCCCGACTCGTCCGACGCCGGTACACCGATTTCGCATGGATTCTCGTAGGATACCCTTGGTCGACCTGGAAGAATTCATTGTGTTTTAGTAGCTTTTGATTGGAACTTTGGGATTTTTCATCTAATAAAAGATATAATCCATCGTCTATAGACATAAACAGTACCATGAATATAATAAGTACAGTGTTTCGCCCATAATATCCTTGATGCGTAGCCATTCCTGAGGACTAAGGTGTTATGTCTCTGCACCCTGTGAATTCAATGCCATATCCCACCCTTCAAATCGAAAGACAGCCATGCAAATACAAATGCTTCAGGGTAGAAACACATGGGACAAAGATACCCATGCAAACGACTTTTGTATAAAGTCTCCCTCTAGGCTTTTGTACAAAGTCCTGTGTGCGGACGGTTATGAATTTATAATGTGAAAATGCATAATGGGATAAAAAGAATAACTTATAGTAGGTTGTTGTTAATTGTTTCATATATGAGTACGTGCCCCGCCGTCATGTTCAAAGAATTTAGTTTCCATATAGCGCAGTTTAAAACTGTTCTTGTTTTAAATGTGTACTACGTTCTAAGGACATGGAGGTAACGTTTTATTATTTTAAGTAATCCATATGGAATTACCATGGTAACCGTTGTGCGCCAAATGACGCATAAAAACTACTAATAATCCTATTGCTGGATAATTACTTCTTTTTTGCAAATCATAGACAGCAGATTTAGGTAGGGGTTTTATTTTGAGTTTCCCTTTTCTTGTATTATGTATCCTGCCTTGTTATCCTAATCGTCATTTATGATAATATTATGGGTACTGAAACAATATTTACTTACATACAGGATATCCCGTACAAAACTCGCCAGAACACTCCGCTTCCTTGACCCTGACGCATTCTTCTCCTTCCGGGCATGGATAACCTGCACACGGATCATCACACTCGCAAGTTGGACAACCGTCTGATCCGGTTTTGTATCCGTACTCGCAGACGCCAGCGCAGAGAGCGCGCGCGCAGGCAGACAAACTCCTGGCACCGGACCGCGCAGGCCGCGGGAGAGGGGAGCAATGAACGGATGTGGACGGCCCCATAGATCCTCTCAGTTTGTTGCCTTCCGAGTCTACACACCTGAAACGATTTAGATAGATTTATTTTCAGATATTTTTTTATCTAGGAGCATCAAGACCTAAAATATGGCCAGTTATATTGCTTAACATTTTTTAATAATGAGCTGAAAAAGTTCATTAAATGTTTATACGTTTTTCAAGAGTGTATTTAATTTTAAAGTATATTAATTCATAATACAATATAATTGGTATATAAAATGATGTTCGTGTGTAAGTTGAACCCATAAGTCGAGAGTTCCGTGCGTAAATATATACGACACAAAATGACTTTTATTGCATTTCTCATAAGAAATAGATACTTAATAATTATTATTAATGGTACTACAATTTGTAATTTCTTATTTTGGGCCATAATTGTGGTTAAAAAAAGAACCGTATAACAAAGTTTGTTTTTGCAGGTTTTTGATAATTTCTATAAAATGGTGCTAATAAGAAACATCGTTTTATTTTTCCTGAAATATTGACATATAAGGAATATTGTAAATATTTCAGGATACTATATAAATTGTAATTACTTTTATTTTTCGCTTCAGAAACTTCGAAGATAAGGCATAGGAAAGGGTTTTTTTCTCACATTTGAAATTGTAATTAAAAAACTACGCAGCATAAAGATAAATAAAATCTGTTTTAAAAAGTGCAAATGAAGCCCTTTTGTATGAATGGACTTATAGATCAGTTTTAACATTTTGCGTATCCATTTTTGACTCCTTAAGCAAGATTTTTTTTTAATATTTCCATTGCAGTATATCCGGGTCAACGATATGTAAAACTATTCCAAACCTTAAATCAATAGCATTAATAGTTGTTGAGATATAACGGAGATATAACGAAGGACGGATACACAACGTCGTGCTATAAGGGTAACTTTGTATCTTTTTGGTATGGAACCCTAAAAAAGAATTTAGTGTATATATTTCCATTTATCCATTGCCGTCCGATGACATTATAATCAGGACCGGATTAACCTGTCAGGGTCCCTAGACAATATACGTTTCGTTCACAAAAAAACCTGTAATATTGTTCCATATATAATAATTTCAAAATCGTCATGAAATACATTAAAATTAATACTTTTATTATTATGTTGGAACCCTGGGCCCATAGCCAATGCGGAACCCTTAGACAGTTGCCTACACTGCCTAATAGATAGTCCAGCCTTGATTATAATCACTTGTATCTAAGATAATCTAATTTGTATACCTTCTTACGAATAAAAAAAAAAAAAAATTCTAGTATTGTTGATCTCTCGACGATAGATAGTAGAAAACTTTATTTGTGTCTTTAGGAAATACATAAAAGTGCAATTACCAGCGAGCAACTGCGATATCTATGTAGGTAGTAGAGTATGAATGACTTCTAAGAACATTGCCATTTGATCTCAATTTACTAACAATCACAGGTAAATTCTAGGTATATTTATTTATAGACTATGTAGGTATATTTACTTTGAAAATAAGTGTTTACTTCCGTTATCTGAGAAGAGATCGGGGATAGTTGAATAACTTTCAGTTTAGACATTTGTGTTTGTTTTTTTGTTTTAATGTAAATTATTGTAAAAAATAATATATATGATAACTTTGAAGGTCAATAAAAAAATCTCGCAATAAATTGTGATGTATGTAGTAATTTACTTTAGCTATTTTACCCACTATTTTTTTTTTTAATTGATATAAGAGTCTTAATAAAAGCAATAGATGCCAAAATAATTACTATTGGAATTATTGTCTATCTGTATGTTCGTTTCAGCATGACGTAAAAACTGCCACACTAATGTGAATCTAATTGTCATAGTTGCATTTCTGAAGGTATAACCACAAATCTAGTGTATGTTTTATTTTGATAAGTTTTTTTTTGTAAAATCTATGAGTACGTAGTTGCAGACAGGATAGTTGTTAGAAGTAGTATAATATATTAACAAAAAGTATTAAAAAGTGAACAGCTGTATAATCTAAGCACGGTTTTTTATATTTTTACAAATGAATGAATTTTATGAACGGTATTATCTGCACTGCGTGAGATAAAGGCTATCAATTTGTTCCGCTCGAGTGATGCTCAAATTGGCCGCGGATTAAACCGGGATCATCACTATTCGTGGAAATTGGATGATTTTCCACAGATATTACAATCGATTTGGTTTTACGACTTTTGTTTAAAGAAAAAAAAAGAATAAAGAATATTCTAACGAACAGCTTTTATATTTTGATGTTCAGTTTTAATACTCCTGTCGTCACTTATATGGAATAGATATTGATATAAGCCCATGGGGGTTCTTGTAGTCATCATTATTATAGTAGTCTTATCGATTTGGTAGAGGGGATTGTGAGTAATGGGGTTTGACTAGCCCCAATGCTAGTGATGGATTAAGTGGAAGTCGATCACTTAGTCCACCTTACTATTGACTGGCTCTACCTGGAAACCATCGTGGTTAAGTTTTGGTAAATTCATCATAGACAAACCGACTTAACATCATCATCTCCTGTTATTCTTCACAGATATCCTGCCAGCGTAAACCAATCGTACCAATAGCCATTTTTCGAGATTACCATTCTATTGTTATGTAATAAAAAAAGTTTTTCGGCATTTTAATCAACCGTTAACTGTCCACTGCTGAACATAAGCCTTTCTCATAAGGGGTATTTTGCCCGTAGTTGCTACACTTAGCAGACTGTCAATTAGGCTTTTAGAGATATTTTAAGAGGGACGCTGCTGCCAATCCCTCTACTATTAAGTTCCTTTAGTCGCCTTATACTACACCCACAGGAAAAGAAGGGGTGGCCTATTTTTCGTCATGATACAGTTAAAATATTTATCAAGTTGCAATTTACTACTCACCAACAAACCAATCCATTCCTTGAACACTGCTTCGACTCGAAGGACCCATCTGCTGCACACTGAGGCACGTACCCTCTGCCTTCTTTCTCACTGATTACCAGCAATTCCGCCAGCATTTTCTGCTGGGTACACATCGTGACATTATGTGGTAAGATGCAATGCTTCCCACACTCCCCCCCATCACAGCACTTCTGCATCGAGGGGCATTCTAAATCGTGTGCGCAAGGTGTACCGCATTCAACATCTGTTGTGTTTTGTGCTGGGCATGTACCAGCCTTTCTGAGTTCTAGGGACGCTGGGCAACATACTCCGTAGTCATTTCCTGGCGAAGAAAAATATTAAAGTAAATAGAAATGTCGTTATTGTCTTTTTTTTATACAACTTAGAATGGCAAACAAGCTAACGGCCCACCTGATGGAAAGTGGTCTAACCGTCGCCTATAGACATGAGCAGTACCATGGACATAACAGAGTATACGGTTTCGCCCATGATACCCCCCATGCGTTGCCATTCCTGAGGACTTAGGTGTTATTCCTCGGTACCCTGTAAATTCACGCCATATCCCATTGTTCAAACCGAAACACAGCCATGTAAACACAACTGCTTCACGGTAGAAACATGAATGGGACAGAGGTACCCAAGCAATCGACTTTTGTACAAAGTCTCCCTCTGGTAAATTGTGGTCAAATTAAGGTATTACATCAATTAAATAGTATCCCCATGTCTTGTATAAGTGTACAGTATATGAAACAATTATAAATAAAGTACATGCATTATTTAACAATACATAAATTATAACATTTAAAATTATATAGTGAAGCTAAATAAATTAAAGTGAGACGAGTGTGTGTAGGATATATCGGTTGTATAACCTTAACTATATATGTGTATATATGTGTGTATGTGTGTATGTATGTATATGTGTGTGTGTTTGTGTGTATGTGTATGTATGTATGTATATGTGTATGTATGTATGTGTAAGTATATATATATATGTATGTATATATGTGTGTGTGTGTATGTTAAAGTTATTGTAAAGTACTGTAAATAGAACTAAATTATATTTATAAAGTCTTGGGTAACTTAAGTTGCATCTACATGTAGAAGCATAAAATATCTAGTAATTTTTCAGGCTTCACGTCAATCGTAAAGGTACCTACATTATAATCTTAAAGCAATCATGGATGATTACAACCAGAGACCGTAGTGGGGTGGCTCATCCTATACCGGGCCCATACAATAATTTATTTGAGGGATCTTAATAAGAGGAATAGAAGCCAAATGAGCATTTTTCAGAAATTTTGTCTTCCTGTCTTTCTATCTATATGTTTGTTCCAGTATTACGCATAAACTACTATATGAAATTAAATGCGGTTTTCACACTTGTATTCCTGAAAGTCTAATTTAAAAACTGGTGTAGGTTTTATCTTCATACGATATCTAGAAGTTTAATAAGTCTGGTTATAAATCTAGTTTAATAATTTTCCAACTTCTGTAATCCTCGCGTACGCATTACATAGCAGTATTATTCTTCTAATCAAAATATTGCCTCTCAGCTTATTTAAAGATATAATCAAAATCAACGAATGACTTATTTGATTACACAATGATGTTTAATGATTAATGAACATTGACGTAACCAGTTGTGATGACTCACCTGACTCAACTAAACATCTGTACAGCGGCGGACAATTTGGCTTGCCCGGATCAGTGCCGCAAAGGAATGGTCGACTCGTTTCTGATATCAGCAAAGGCTCTCCGGCTGGACAAATGTTTTGTAGACTCCTTCCGCGTTTACCTGACGAGTGACGGAATTCTAAATTGAATTTGAATCGAATTTTTTTTTATACAACTTAGAATGGCAAACAAGCTGACGGCCCACCTGATGGAAAGTGGTAACCGTCGCCTATAGACATGAGCAGTACCATGGACATAACAGAGTATACTGTTTCGCCCATGATACCCCCCTCAGGTGTTCTTCCTCTGTACCCAGTAAATTCACGCCATATCCCACCCTTCAAACCGAAACACAGCCATGCAAACACAATTGCTTCACGGTTGAAACACGAATGGGACAGAGGTACCCAAACAATCGACTTTTATGCAAAGTCTCCATCTGGAGACGAATAAGTAATGATGAATAGTCCAGATTTTGAAATATCATTGTTTAAACAATTTTAAAGAATGAGATTTCAAAATAATTTAAATTCCCTCAAACCTAAATGTTGTTATTTAATATATAATTAATTGATTTTAAATATTGAGTAAGAGAACGTTGTTAGAAGATTGATTTTGAATCATCATCATTCTTACCATTATTATTAAGTATTTATTTGATTTAAATAATATTGCGCAGAAAAAAAAAAGATTATAATGGAATGTAGATACATATAGGTACAAATGTAGGTAAGTGATTTATCCCTCAGAGAAATCTCTCTGAGGAATCAATTTTCTTATTCGTATTTATACCAATTGCTCACTTTATATTCGGTACATTACAGAAAAATAGACAACAACATGTTCGAGTAAGTATGAAATAAGCCAGCTAATATTAAAAACTTCTTTTTTTTCTGATTGGACTCTGGGCTCTGTCCACATTCTTGTCTATTACGACATTCTAGGGAAACTATTTCTAGCAGCTCCATTGTTAGCAATATACACTGTCAGATGGTCCACCATTTTGAATTTCCCTAGAAATCATTGTAGTTAGTTTCTGGTGATTTCGTCACGATGGACTAACTGACCTGACTTGATTCTCATCTATCATGTCTCTAATTGGTTTATATACTTAAATATTAATGTTTAATGTTATAATTTGTATCATTTTTTGAAGGGAACAATAAAGTGTTTTCATTCATTAATTGATACTTCGCCAGTGTATATTAATAGCATGGGCTGGGTTAGTATTCCATTTTTATTTATAAAAAAAGTGTCCTGGAGATTGAATATGTGGTAATATATTTTTATTCCGTCTCAACATGAACCAAAGACCTGTTAAAGTGTTTTATATAAAATATGTTAAACACTTACATGTAGGCACAGGAGGACAAGGCGGCCTCAAACAAGGAGTTTCTTCTAACTGACAAGACAGTTGTCCAGGACACGTGATGGAAGAACAAGGATCCCGACATTTGCACAAGGGACAGCCTTGAGAGTCCAGCTCGAAGCCGAGCGGACACAGCATGCGGCAGGTGTGAGCAGCGCACGGGGCAGCGCGCGTGCAGTTCACCAGGCTGGCGGCTGGAGCTCGGGTGCCGGCTACCTAATGGGGTTTTTAAGGGAAATCTATTTACTCACATTCAATATAAAATTTCGTTCCATAATAACCTTCCACGACTTCGTACTTATTAAAATTTAGCATGGCAACAAAAAAAGTGTCGCATCGATTATAAAATCGATTAAGATTTGGTGGTCAAATAATGTTAAATACATACATAAATACAGGTGACTGCTTTTTTTTAAGTCGGTTAATAACTCTATTGACAGACAATACATGACATAAACTGGTGTTTCTAGAAACTTGAATTGTTGCACATAAGTTACAAATAATGCAACTGGAAAAGAGTAATAAGTGAGCACTGGGAAAGTTGTTAAGGAAGTATAAATTGGGAATGGACATTTTTAAAGATGTTTCTTACAGAAAATATCAACGATATGGATTATTACTATTAATTTAAATTAAATTCAATACTTTCTTAAATATAAATACATTTAATTAAATATAATTTTTAATTATTTATAGATATTTAGATAGGTAGATAAATAGTATAATATATCCTTGGTGTATCTTTTCAGTTTGTGACTAGTGCATTCACCATTAGCAAATACAAAATAAAAAAATATATAAGCAAAAATTAATTAACTATCCATTCTATAAAATGCTGAATTCAGTAATTAAGAAAACTTGAAATAAGGTAATGCGATTCCGTATAATTTATTACCGCTCTTCGAAACTGTGTAATTAAAGAAGTTCATTTAATTTTAGCATATTACCATCAAAAAGAGATATTATAATTTATGTATTAATATCTAATTTCTATTTAAATCGCGACTGGTTATTTTATTAGAATTATTTTCTTTAATTCCGCTATCATTAAACAAAATAATTTTAAACAACTAGCGATATGAGCTTCCGCAAAATAACACCTAATTTAGTAAAATAAATTACAACTATAAAAAATTCGCAGTGAATATAAAATAAATAATCGTAAAAGTCCTTAAAAACCCACGTATATAGTCTCAAATGAATGAGTACTACAAAAAAAAAAAAATTGTGTAAACACACATACATTACACTCAAAAAAAATCTTTTTACCACTGACAGGTACGTTAATAATTTATCGTTATTTTTTTTTTGCTTTGTGTCAAACAAGTTCTATGAAGTAATCTTGGAGTATCAACTTCAAATAAACTTGTTGCTATTGCTATACCATAAGTTATCAAGTACAATACTTGATAGATACAGCATTCGTAAAGTCAGTACTAAAATAATGAAAACAACAACACAAGTCACAGCAAGTTTTCAGCTAGCAAATTTCTTATCTATTTTCTCAGACAGAAAAACCAGACATTAAATACTTTAGAACATCTAAACACAAATAAGTCATAGAAAATTTCATTTCCTAAATCGATTTCACAGAGAATCAAACTCGGAACCTAATTTACACAATGGAACGTGTCAACAAATACGCCACGGAAGTCATCACTCACCTCAAAGCCAGCTTCGTCGACGCACCAACAAGAGCTGACGATCTCGTTATCGCACTGTATCTGCTCGAACTCTCCGTCGGAAGCCCTGCAACGTGGCGCCCGCACTGACTTCAAGAGACCACGTCCGCCTCGGCTGTTCTCTGCCGCTAGCGCCCGAGATATCCGCTCTGATGAGAGCCTTATGTTCTCACAACCTACGGAATTTATAAAAAAATAGATAATGAGGTCAAACGATCCCATTGCTAGCAATATACCCGTATTGCTAACAATAATACGACATAACCCTTCTTTGCATACTGGTGGAAATTTCCATCATAACATTGAATGCCCAAAAATTACATAAAAGAACAATTTCACTTTAAGTTGATTGTGTCTAGATACTTTTTTAATGTCCATTGCAGAAAAAAAAACCACAGCTGTCAAATTTATTTTTTTAACCACTTTTCCTTTAATTTTGAATATGAATTATATCACCTTGATTTATTTCACCATTAAAAAAAAATATGCAAAGAAGGGATAATAGGGTTATAACGTAAAACTCCACATAATCGGACGTCGAAATTATTGTTCATAAATGCGTTACGATATGACCTGATTTCATTCTCACCTATCATTCCTCCTGATAGGTACTAGGTATCAGTTTAGCACAGTTACTTTTTCATTTCACCCCATTAATAAAAAAATCAATTGTTGTTGGACAAAAACCCTCTAGAGGAGAAAAATATTAGCCTAATTTGGCTTAATCTTGTTGGCTAGATAAGATAGTAAGTTTTATTTCCACTGTACGGATATATTGTGTTTTGTACCTCTAATCTACTATTTTGAAGATTAGATAGAAGTGTTAATGCATTATATTCTTACTCTATCGCCACACAATACCATCATCATTACAATCTATCGCGGTACTGCTAAACGGAGATGTCTCTCATATTTTCAACGCTTTTGGGGTAATTACATCATCTTGAGTGTCGCGCCTTACTGTGTTTACTAGCACGAGGTACTCTAGTGCTAATCAAGAATCATTCTTCTTAGAATGTGTCCGTCTTAGGACATAGGTCCTCTTTATCTTTCTATGCCTGTATCCATACACAATACATGTATAGAGGGGGGAAAGGGATTGTTAGTAATGGAGTTTGATAGCCCCATTGCTAGCAATATGCCGGTCTATATATTAGGTCGACCTTCACGTGGTTCCCCCTGGAAACCATCGTGAACAATTCTTGTTGAATTCGTCACGATGGGCTAACTGACCTACTTCATCCTCGCCTACCATCCTTCACTGGTGCCCCGTCGGTGTATACCGATAACGCGGGTGGGGTTACCATTCCATTATCATCCATTAAAAAAAAACACATGTATAGATGTAATTACCTGTATACAACGGGTCGACACAGACTTGTCCGCAAGTGCTACTGCAACAGATCTGCTCCCCGCACTCATCGTCCGTGGTGCAGGGCGCCGCCCGCGCTGGGCACGGCCCCTCCTCCGCTGGACATCTTCCACGGAGCTCCGCGTTTGCTATACCAAAAAAACCGATGTTTTAAAAGAAATTGGTAATACCGATATTGTAGAAGAAAAAAGTGTAATGCCCTTATAATAAGTATCTTCAATATTAATTTACCATTGCAAATAACGAATAGCTAATTTTATGTAAAATTGTACTCAACGCCTATAGATATGAACAGCCATAATATTATGGGCATCACTCTAACACCCATAGTTCATTATAATTCCTAAGGAGTACTACTGATCCTGAGGACTGAAGTGCTATGATTTCGCACTGGATTTTTTTTTATACAACTTAGAATGGCAAACAAGCTGACGGCCCACCTGATGGAAAGTGGTAACCGTCGCCTATAGACATGAGCAGTACCATGGACATAACAGAGTATACTGTTTCGCCCATGATACTCCCCATGCGTTGCCATTCTTGAGGACTCAGGTGTTATTCCTCCGTACCCAGTAAATTCACACCATATCCCACCCTTCAAACCGAAACACAGCCATGCAAACACAACTGCTTTACGGTTGAAACATGAATGGGACAGAGGTACCCAAGCAATCGGCTTTTGTACAAAGTCTCCCTCTGGTGATTTCCACTACCATGTAAATCATGCAAGTATAGCTGTTTGCCGGTAGAAATACGAGTGATAATCTAAATAAATATCTACCCGCTCTTGTACAAATAATTGTAATCCATCCAAATTGTCTAAATTTTTTTTAATTTTATTTAAAATTTTGTAAGTGTATTTTAACAGATTTTTGAGTGAGATCTTAATAAAACAATTGTGCTTTCTATACATGCACTGCAAGTAATTTAAAGTGGCATTCTTATATCTAAGCCTGGATATTCTGTGCACTGTTCAGAATACGAAGACGTGTTTGTAATACAAAAACACTAGTGAAATGATTAAATAATAATTAGAAAGCGTCCAACGGACCGTGGTGCAGGAGCAGCGCGCAGACGCAGAGCACCGCCGCCCTCACCGCCGCCCGCATCGCTGCATCACACACGCGGACGCTGCAAAAAGGAAAAACAATTGTTAGTAATTAAATTAACTCACTAGTTTTTTTTTACATTTCTCTTTTTTTTCTTTTTCTAATCTGCTCATTGGCAACTCGTTCTCTATATAACAATAATCCAATATGCTGTTTGGATGTTAGGTTTGAATTTTCTTATTATATGATAAGGCCGATCCATTAATCAGCTGTCAGTCTCTGTCTGTAAATCTCTCCACCAATCTCTGCATGTAACATTTTTCGGGGAAATTTTTCACTTCATAAGAACCTTCTTTGTACTTCAATAAAGTTTAAAGATGCTTCTTATGAAAATATTCGAAATCTAATATTTGAAAAAAAATGCTGAATTGGTCCAACTGCTTTTCCAGTTTTTTTTTTATTATAAGATGGGTTTGCGCTTGACCTTACCTTATCTTAGTTATGCGTTTAGTAACAGATTTAACGATGTATACTTATTTATATATAGGTATATATATTAATTTTTACTTTGCCACTTTATCCGGACACACGGATATGTTGGTTAACAGGGATAAAAAGTATAACTTATTATTCTCTCTATCCCAAATTAGGTGTAGATTGTATATATGTATGTATATGTACGTAATATGGATGTACTGTCATATTTCCTTAGATATTATTAATGTTTACAATTTACAATAAATATATCAAATTTCATGACGATTTGTTGAGCCGTTAGATACCAAGAGATAATAAACAAGACAAACTAACTTTCATATATTTACTAGTTACTAACTTTTACATAGCTATCAGTGAGTTCGTCCACGTAACTAGCATTTATATTGATTGACTACGGTAAAAAGTAGCCTATGTCCTTCTTCATTCCTAGTATTTAGTATTTATTTATTTATTTTGCACTTTATTGTACCATTTACAAAAATAATAAATACAGTAAATTTTAATGAGAAGTGATACATAAGGCGACTTTATCGCTAAACAATCTCTTCCAGAGAACCTTTGAGTAGGGTACCATTGAGAAATAAGACAAATTACTATATACTAAATTAAATGACAACTGAAAGCTTTCCTCTAACCCATGGACTTGTGTTATCTGTAGCAAACACTTGGTGAACTAATATTGATTTATTTATTTATACTTTTGCACACATTAAAATATGTCTACAACATTGTCCTTCTCTTATGGTAAAAGCCAGTGCTGGTAGTATCATTTCTGGTGGGCCAATTATTAATGAGTCGTTATAGAATGAATAAACATTGTATTTACAAAGTACAATACAACATTATTAGCAAGAGCAGAATATCTAATAGTACAATACTGTAGGAACGCAAAGGAACGCAGGCATTCAGCTGAACTCGAGACAGACAGCGAAGCATACTAATGGACTAATGGTCTCGACTCGACAATGCAGACCATGAATCATGCCTACAAATCATTTCCCCCCAGCCGAACATGGCATTCAGCCTTGTAACAAAATCGGAGGCCATTAGGCAATGCATAACATTACCCACTAGCGACTGCTTGCGACTTCGTCCAAGTGGTGGTTGAAATTTTACTAATATAATAAAATTATTTATTTCTTTATAAAGACACACCAACAATATGCTCATAATAATTAAGCAGACAATATACAATGTTATTAGTAAGTAAAAGAGAAAAACTACTATTTAAAAATGCTTAAATATAAGTTTGAACAAAATCGTCTTACTCCTCACTACCAAGCTTAAGGCCATATGAATTATAACTAAAGACGATGTAACATGGGAGATATTTAAGAAAAAAATATAATGAGAAGTCTTAGTAAGAGCGATAGAAGTTAAAACAATAATTATAGAAACTTTGTTTGACTGTCTGTATGTTTCTTTCGGTATCACGCAAAAACCACTGCACCATATTGGTGGTGATTTTCTCAGATGTTTTATGAAGTTCTAACTTAAAATCTGTATATATGTTTTATCTTGATCCACCATTTAAAAATGGTTTTTTTTATTCGTATTCGTACTTCTAAAATCAACATGTACGAAGTAGCGGGCAAAAAGGTAGTTAAATCATGTTCCTAATTTATTTATGTCCATTAATTCCTCTTTGGCCCTTTTTTCGTATGCATTTGAGAAATTACCTCGATACGATAGATTTGATATACCAAGGAAAGGCCTTTAAAAACAAAAAAAAAGCATAGGGCTTTTTTTTATAAATAACCAGCTAACGAAGATTTTCTATAATTTTAATATTTTTTTACAAATGAGATATTAAGCTATTTTATGATTCACTTGACCGAGTTTAATATTAAAAATATACATATAATACGTAACCAGTTTTTATGTAGAGAATATGTACATTAGTTGTTAAGGCCATTACCTTTTTTCCTAATGACATAACAAGACAAACATCATTCTTAATTAAAGATTGTGTATCACAAAAAACAACCGACTTCAATTATGACAAAATAAATTACTTTGGTCGAAACCTAAACTACTGAATCGATATTAATAATATTTCTATGAGACCAACCTGTAAGTATATTTTTTTTAGATAAAAAATATAATTTTACAAATCGATTTAGAACTGACGGAGTTATGAGGTACACAAACATAAAAAAAAAACATACAACCGAGTTGAGAACATGCTTCTTTTTGAAGTTAGTTAAAATAACTGTTAGATATTACAAGTACCTATAAGATTTGTTTACAATACAATTCAATACTTTATTATTAGACATGTTTTTATTTATTATATAATATTTATATCATTATAAATATAATAAATAATAGTAAATAATATACGGTTAAAAATAATGAAAATTGTACTAAGTTATAATATTGTCATTTTTTGTATAATTTGGATGTTAGTGTTTTTCTAATTCATGTTAACCACATTCTATTATTGAATAGTGATTTATCGTGCTCAACGAACCGTACATTGCTCGGTCCAACACGCATCGGGTGGACTGAATACTGTTCATCTGGATGCTAAACGTGTCACCTATTCTCGTGTCATTTTGCAACTACGCTCAATCGACCTCAAGTTCTCCACTATATCTACTATGTAAATTAATCACGTTTTGATAATAATTTAATTTGTCCAGTATGATAGATACAGGGCCGCGTCACTCCAAATAAAATAATGGTTGTATAAAATCTATGCACCTAATAGTACTATTTAAAAATTTTACAATATAAAATAGCTAGATATTTCATTTACGATACCTACCGACAACAATATTTTTGTATACCTATCCACTCTGAATATTTATTTATTTCATTATGTTGATATAAAAAATATTGGTTGCATAGATTTATTTTTCAGTTCCATCAATATGTCGGTAGTGCCGATTCCTGTTAGTGATAGATGATATATATATTTTCCCGCGCAATACTTTTTAAGTCCTTTTTTTTCAATCCAAAAAAAATTATGCTAAATGTTTTTTATTATGTAAATATATAAAAAAAAAACGAAGACAGATATTTCCCGCGTAAAATCATGGTACCAAATTATAGATGTCGTAAGCGAGGAAAATAAGATATAAAGCTGTACAACCTAATTTTCCGCGCAAAATAAAATATTATTAAGTGTTTTTACTTTCATTTTTGGAATAAATCAAAGAGTTGATATTCAATTAATTATCTTAATTTATTTTATAATTTGAAGGACAAAATCTAATTATGACATATAGTCTAAGGATTTAGACGGTCCTAAGCCACCTGCATTTCAGGTCGTCACTCGATCTAGTAGGGGTCGTCCTACACTGCGTTTGCTCGTACGCGGTCGCCATTTAAAAACCTTTTTTCCCCAGCGGTTGTCTGTTTTTCGAGCTATGTGACCAGCTCATTGCCAATTCAACTTGCTTATCCTTTGGGCTATGTCGGTTATTTAGATTCTTTTGCGGATATCCTCGTTTCGGATTCTATTTAATATATATATATTGATATATACGAATGTTTGTGTTAGGTAAATACTGTGGATTGGTAGGTATATTTACCTTATATTATAATATTTACTTACAACGGAATCTGAGAGTAAATCTTGTATTTAATACATTATTTTAGTAAAACCTTAGGGTAAAACAAACAGAAATAGAATTGACCAATGTTTGCTCCTTTTAAATTAACTTTTAATTATAGGTATAACAATATTGTTACAGTTGATTTTTACGACTTTCTATGATGTAAGATACATATTATGTATAATTTATAATCTTGTAATATCGATAATGCTTAACGTTTAATAAAATCGACTGAATTATTATTTATTACGAGACGTCTATACAAGTAATAAAAAAAAATCTGGTTTCAAATTCTTTAAACTGCGCATTGTCTTTTTTTCTTCAATCTTAACTGAACAATGTAATACGGATTAAGTACTTAGTATTGTGTCTAGAGCATGGGAACTAGCCTAGATCGGGGAGGAGGGAAGGGATCGTTAGTAATGCGGTATACTAATCCCATTGCTAGCAATATACCCTATTGGGTCCGGAACCACCTCCACGTGGTACGCCCTGGAAACCATCATGCTGAATTTCTGACCTATCTTCTCTCACTGGTGCTCTGCCAACGTATACTGTTAGCGTAGGTGGTGTTACCATTCTATTATCATCCAATAAAAAAAAAAAAAAACTTGCTTAGATCGGTCTAGAGTTACACACACACTCTAGACTGTAAACACTGAATATTTAGCGTACGTTGCCAGCACTGGTACTTGTTTGGCTCAACAGGCATCACAAAGTATCCAATCTGCGGTGGGTTCAAACTATGGCTGTGATATAGCAGTCACAGTGGTAGACCAACGTGTGTATGCTAATTACCGATTACTTTCTCTGTTTTGTGTTCACCACTGTTTTGTCGGCCGTTGAACTCGAGCCCGCGCATTTGTAGTCTCTAATAATTAACCTGTACAATAGGTATAGGGGATATAACTAAGATTAGCTATATTTCAAATGTATGTAGATAGCTTAGATCGTATACGCATAGATAAAGCATCGAATATTAAAATCTATCGCAATAAACGTCAACATTTGATTGATGCAT